CAGCTAGACTTGGATTATTTCCTTCACCGATCACTTCTATTTCTAGATATTCGTAATATACCACTTTGCGTCTATATAAGTCGGAATATGTAAATTTTTAAACCAAATTGAGCTTCATGTGACTGGGCGCCTTGACCTACAGCAAATATCATAATTACAATCGCTAACAATTCTCCCAACATGGATAGTTGTTCGGCAAAGACCGATGTCAACAGCATTTTACAGAAACTAAAGGATTAAACATTCAAAATTTAATATAAAATTTGAAAATATTTACAGTTTGTCCAAGACCATTTAATTCTGATTTAATTTACAATGCATGTAATGATTTAAACGCATAGTTAAATCAAGTCCGCCAATCACGCAGACACGATCTGGGTGTGGATAAATTGAAACATAAGAGTTGTGCCTACTCTTTTCTTCTCTAAGAAGCTTTGTTCGAAGTTGCACTGACAGGAATCGAAAGTGTGGAGAAAATTAAATGCGTTCGTAAATAACAAAGCCCGACACTAAGTTAAAATAGTATGTTATGCAACGAATATATACTTTATGACAGCTATTAATGCACGAGTGTTTGCATTTACGACAATAATATGTCAATAACTGTTATTTGCGAAACGCGTACAATTATTTTTTTATAACTATACTTAATTGACAACATTAGAACTTGTAGAGAATTGTTGTTACATGCAGCAACACAGTTTGTTGTACAATTATCCTAGATGAAACGTCGTCCTGTATTACTTTGTCATACTTCTGTATTCGTTATCCCAATAAATCCTTCATGTTTATGAAGCAATAAACTGACTAATCGTGTAGAAAAAAATCTCCCGGCCCATTATAACATGCAGATCGTGTTTTGTTTTCAAAACTTGGTGGTTCGTATCAAATTTTATGTATAGGGACTAAACGACTCGTTTTCTAAGGGCTATCATTAACATTCCAAGAAGAATAAGGATCGTGTTTTGTGGTAACTTAATACAGCTTGGTTGGGCTGGCGAACACCGTCTTTTACAGAGGTTGTTCTTCAGAAATTTAGTTTGGAATCACTTTCAGAACATCACGTCGCTAAGATGTTTTGCGTTCGACTTCAGTAGTTGTTGATAAATAAAAAATGTCGTGATCTTCTCTATATGCGCGTGCAAAACGTGAAGAAAATATTCGACTGCAAGACGAAGCAACGAAACTGCATTTGCGACAAAGAATATTCGTTATTCTAGCTTGGAAGACAATAGCAAATATTGTGTTACACGTACATATATTATTACAAAAAAACAACCATCAAATACGCCTACAAAACTGCAAATGGACAAAAGCTTTTTTCCAATTGCCTTGTTCAGCAGATACATTCAAATGTGTTATGTATAGATATTCGATATAAATATTAATATGCATTTTCATTCTGCCTCTTCAAGTTTTTGTTGTGAAGTTAAAGAAATGCCTCGTCATTTTCACGCATTGAATTGTGCTGCCATCACATCTGGTTTTATTGTGTTAAACCCTACAAACTTCACTTTCTAGAGATCGTGTGGCACTATTAACCTTTGTTCTCGCATTGAAACTGATTTAAATTTTAAATTAATCTCGAGAAAATATAAATACTCATTACTGTTACAAATCTTGTGTGTCAAAGGCATTAGATATTTAAGTTTTCTTCTCTACATTTGTTTGTATCTCATTATCATTACAGAGAGCTTAGGAGAAGCTTTAAATAAGCTTTTTTATGCCATATTTGTCGCTATCAGTGACAGCATGGAAACAGTGCGACTGTAATCGTAGATAATTAATAAGAAAGTACAATATCTTTGGTTTTGTTTATAAACATACTGCGGGTTAACCGAATAACCTTAGGAAACCGTTATCTCTAATTGGGCGATATTAACCCGATGATGTAATGGCCAATTCGGGCCAATTTTCCACGGTACTTGGGCCCGGTGATTTACAATCGTTGCTAATTTTAATTAAAAAAATTGCTACCCGCGAAATTGGCGCAATTATCGAATTGAATTTACCGCTTAAGCGAACAGCTTTCTGTATTTATAGTGAGCTGGAGTAATTCCTGTTAATCCCATTAAGGTGGCTAATAATGGAAATAACAAGGCGGATAAGTTAGTCGAAACGTTTTTCTAAGAACGAGAGCTAATAAAATTTTAAAAAGAAAGTCGTGTTGTCAACACTTTTGACGTTGTTGTTTCAAAGTGCTTTTTTTAAAGCTGCAAAGTCTGGTGTAATCAACAGTTGAACATATTTTGCATACCTAGATTTGTCAGAGCTTTTCTTGTGATTTTTTTTTACAATAAAAAATACCAGAGCTAATAATAAAACTACTACCCTTTGAAGGGAGTGGATAATATCATGACCTATGGATCCCAGATAACCTTTTGGTAACCAGAGGCCGTGAAAACCGTGATGGACTATAATAAATATATAGACCGAGACGGAGGACGTCTATTTTAATACCCAGAAGAAACAAATGACTGTCGTCTTGAAAGCAAATGGACCTGCATCGAATTTTTTTGATAGTTTTGTCATAGGAACGATTTAACAAGTTATTAATACAAATAAGTATCAACTGACTAAAGTTTTTAATATATTTTTGCACGCGTATTAGCCCTAAAACTCGGAGAAGTGGAAAACTTCGCAGAAGTCTTGGAGAACAACGCATAGCATTCCTAACTATATACATAACAATGTTATTATGCTTCAAAAAGCTCCAACTAGTCGGACGACCATTGTTCGTGAACAATACCCTTTCTACCAACACTCGAGCAACCTATTTGTTGTTGAGTTATAGCCGTCAAGCACTCCGATACGGTCTCGGCATTTATTCTCCTTATTTGCACCCATTATAAAGTTTTCCGCCCAGATTTAACGCCACCAATTGATTTATTTTACCTGCAGTAACAAAAAACAAATGTATTTCCCTTTTAAAAACTAAAGTTTAATGAAAAGTCAATCGACAACATTCATTTCATGCAATTGCTTTAGTCGCAGTATACAATTTTCGCCCTAGTAATATTTTTACAGAATATAAACAAACTATTTTTATCAAAAGGGGTGCAAAGTTGCCTTAGGCCGTCTCTGGGTACATGAAAAAACTGTCCCTGTTCCACCCGGCACATTTATTTCACAAAAGATACCAATTTCCCACAATAAAAGACATAATGCATGTAGATTCTATTTATCTATTCGGAACAGATACGCACAGAGAGATTTTATCGACAATGAACTATATCGTGATCGTGTTTCTACCAAGTTAGTTGCTATTTATTGTAGTGCGACGCATACAGACGCGGATATAAGATTTGGGAACAGATAAAAGGACGCTATTTCTCTTTGATGGGCCGTCGAACAAGGCGAATGGTCTTACGATACAGGGTGTTCAACAAGCTCTATGACAAATGGAAGCTGCATTAATTTCAAACATTTTTTCTTATATGAACGTAGGTCCAATTCCTTTTTGTTTCAAAGTAGCCTAAATAAAGATGATGGTTGCTATAACAATAATTATTATTTGTGTTTAAACATTAGTTAACCTTTATTGTCATGTTTGGTATAAAAATATATGGAATACAGTCTTTCTTAATGTCATAACTGCCAGTTTATTGTATTCTTTACCTTAGAAACGTTTATTCTAAGGTAAAACCACACAAAATGTATAAAAATTATCAACAAAAGATGAAAATGTATCCAGTATTGCAAAATTAAGTAACAGTTATTGCTGTTTATATTATGACAGCCGATAATGTATGTGTTTATTTTTGTAATTTTCATGTTGAACAACCTCTTTTCGAATCAACAAACTGAATGTACGTTATGGAAAGTCTAATGTACACAAAGCGTTCCTTTTTCTGATGTACTGTATTTACATTTCATTTCCAATTTTCAAATAATTTCATTTAAAAAAATACACACGCTCTAGATCCTTGCCCTTCCAGCTGGATGTTTTAATTTATTATCATATTTGTCTGCTTTCGTGTAGGAATTTCAATAATTTCATTTAAACAGATGATACCTAAATATGAAGGAATAGAATACATATTTTTTAATTGAAGAATAAATTATCATACTTGCATGTTATTTTAAATAATTCCTACACCCATATTTTTATTAAGAATACATATACAGTTAGGTATATAGGTGCTCCAGTGATGAAAGAGAAAACAAAGCAAGGCATTAAGAATGATTCCAACAACATGCGTGTTATTGACTTGTACTGGCTGCGAGTGTCCCTGTCCTATTTTTCGTTACGTAACACTGATTTGTTTATTTTAGATGCTAAGAGGAAAGAGATATAAATAAAACGGTTCACAGCATCGAGTATTCCTTACATTTTCTTTGGGCGCTTGTAGAGATTGGTTTTTAAATGCTCAGATAATATTTATTGGCAGTAACAATGCGAAAAGTTTCTCGAAAGCTGTGCAAGGCGAAAACTTTGAGAACGTCCTGAGCCTCGACGTCATTTAACGTTGATAAATGTAGGAAAAGTTGCAAGGCGAGAGAACTCTTTAATATATTTGACATTATTGATGAAAATGACGAGTTCCAAAGTCGTGTAGCAAATAAACTTTCGTCCCGTCCTCGTAGGACCAAATGTTTTAGTTTAATATTCTCAAACTTTTTAGAACTACTTTATCTTCTGAAGTAGAGGTATTAATTTGATTTGTATTTTAATTTATTTTAGTTATTTCAGCAGATCTACAAAATTCCTTTCAAAGATTAGAACTAAATATTGAAAATACATAATTTTTTATGGTTTCTTACTCAACGACAACCCTGTCTAAACTTTTTTTTACAAAATTTCTGCCAGTTTACTCTATATTTGACCAATTATGAAACACTACCAAGTACCATCATTTTGACTTCAGAAATAACTACGCATTGTTAGATAAACCATCTTCAACCTCCAACTGATGTTAAAATAACACTGAATCAAAGTTTGAGTGTATTTATCTCAACTATGTCGCTTCCACTTATTGTTAAATAATTTTTTTTTCCAGGGACCTACGCTTTAACAAAATCAGGGAAATCCCTCCCGGCACCTTCAAAGGTCACCGCAATCTAGTGTCGCTACTGCTGAACAACAATCTCCTAACCTCTCTGAAAAATGGAGCCTTCGAAGGGCTGTTCCACTTGCAGCACCTCTATCTCTACAAGAACAGAATCAAGTACATCGAACCCAACGTTTTCCAGGGGCTTAAGAAGCTAGAGAGACTGTAAGTATTTATTTTCCATCCACATTTAGACTCATTTGGCGTTTCTAACTCCGTTTGATTCCCATAAGTTAACCTTAGTTTGACCTTGTCAAATCCAAGGTCACCAACATCTGGTTCGTTATATCCTACAACTTTTATCTGAAATGTTTTTTGGAAAGGACACAATCCTCAAAGTTATCGAGCGGTTAGGGCCTTTTTTGGGACACCCAGTGCATTGTAAATACTTACGCTACCGAAGTTTACTCTCAGAATGTTGAACTTGCCGAAATAGAAGCAATTGAGGGACAGCCACATGTAAACTGTGCATAACAGTCAGACATAACATAAATTTGCTGTAAACAAAAGAAATTAAACAGGCTTCTGTTTGTGTTAACTTGATTTAAAAATAAACTCTTCTATTATATTTGCACACATCCAAATCAAATAAACTTTATAAATTAACTGAAGTATAGTTATATATTTAAAACGTTTGATTATATACTTAAAGTCAAGCGCGTTTGGATTTAAAATATGCTGTAACATGTAAACATTTTACGGATCAGAAGATGCAAGAGGGAACATTGTATTGGGATTGAGTGGCTCGATCGCAATACCTTTGAAACTTTAACAAGAACCATCGTTTCACTTCAAAGTACTTTTTGTATGACGTTGTTATAGTAACACTCTAAACAGAAGTTAAATTGAAAGATATCCATATACTTAGTAATAAAAGAGCATAGGAGTACAACAATTAAATAGTTGAGACATGTGTTTTTCATTTTCAGATATCTGCATAGCAACGAACTGAAAGAGTTTCATGCTGGCACTTTCTCCAACTTGCCTTCACTGGATAGGCTGTAAGTTATTTCAAATCACTCTTATATCCCTTGAATTTGCTTGTGATTAACTGACTTCGACTTAAATCGCGTTTTCAATCGAGCCGTTCATAAAATTCGCCTTTGCCAGGGTAAAATTTGGAATTGGCGATTCGGGCGGAAACTCGAAACTTTTGTTTGCGAGAATTTTGTGAATTAACGGGATCGGATCCGTAAGCTTTCATTTTGCATAAATCTGCTAACGTCAATACATCATTTCCTAACAGATGATGGATGAAGAACATTGCCGGTTCGAAGATGATTATTTTTGTATGATTTACAGGAAGTTAAATATTTTATGTTTAAAATTGTAATTTCCGCCTCTGGATGGATGCAACGGGATCCGTTTCAAAAGGGGAGAGGGGGGATAAACGTTCGTTAATAAAAATTCCATCAATATAATTAAAATACTTACGTTTGCGTGTTTCGGACATGCTGTTAACTTTGCTTTCTTTCACTAATCCCAGTCTCAACCACTTGTAGGCGAACAAACAAATCCTTGGTTTAATTTTATCGTAACTTCAAGTTGCATTACCTGTGTGGAAATAACAAACAGTGAAAGTACAGTTCTGTGTAAAATTATATTAACTGCTAGTTAACACCGAGTATTCGGTGACCTAACTGTAAAATTGTATCTCGTTGTTTCAACCAAACGAATTCGACAGATGTTTAAAATATTGCATTAATTTTAGATCAGAATATGTACCCACTGTTCCAAGCAGTTACATTAAAAAGCGAAAAAATATTTCACGAGTTAGCAGCTTGAACATATTCCAGGGAACATTAGCTGAAATACTCGAGTTTGAATAACCCGCAGGTATAAAATTTAATTTTTTTGGCACACGACACGCAATCGAAATCACAATCTCGCAACTGAAAAATAGATCCAAGACGCAAAAAATAATTTGACGTACTGAGCTGTAAACAACTGATTTCAGGAAAATGTATTAGGTATTCATATACATCGATTGAGGACACTTTTGCATGCTATCCAAGGATAACCTGATCTGCTCTAAGATCTAAGTTCGACGACCTAGAAAAACGCACTTAGCGCCTTGAGTGGCGTTGTACAAATTAGTAAACACGATAAATACGCCTTTTCATTGTGCGAAATATGCGGTTAGGGACGTAAAGGATAAGTGTATGTTATAACGCCTCATTTAATAGATTGCTATTGCTCACGTCGCACAACGTTGGTGGCCCATTAAATGCGACGCCCTGATGATTAAGATCTCTTTTTTGGATCTTCCAAGGTGGCTTGACAAGTACCTATTACGCCGGTTATATCAGACAGAAAATATGCAAAAAACAGTCCAAGAAAAGTAGTAGTCTGTAATTTTTTCCTAAGGTAGAAAATTTTACAAAGTGATCTGACAACTCACTGAGCTGACAAGTCATATCATTCACAATTAGTCAAAAATCTGTTTAATGTTTTCAACTGATTAAAATATAAATGTTCGAAATTTTATTTATTTTTGGTTGGCAATGGCCCTCTTGAGGTATTTCTTTGTAACTAACTGATTTTTCTTGTAATGTTCTGTGTTCTGTATTCAATGTTCTATTTCAATATTCAGTGGTACATGTACATTCTACATTCACATTGTTGTGTACAACAACATAAACAACATAAAGATCTTTATCTAAATAAAATGATGTTTCCTAAAATGAACATACAATATGCACAAGTCAATGGAAATAGAATAATTCGTTGCCTTCTGTGTTGTCAGTTAAAGTGTGACATGACACACATGTGATCTGACACAAGATCTAACAAACTTTGGTTTATACTCTGCTGTATCATGCCCAACAATTACAGACGATAAATCTGATGTCTATCATTTCGGCAATCATGTGTCATGCCATGATGTATGAGTTTTACTTTCAGCAACCTCTACAACAACCACCTGACTCGTATCCCCCATGGCGCCTTCGAGAACCTTCCCAAACTAACGAGGCTGCGACTGGACCACAACGCCTTGATATGCGATTGTCAGATCGCATGGTTGGCCAAGATGCTGACGGACAACTCCTTGCAGGGATCGGCCAACTGCAAATACCCCTCGGAAATGTACGGGAAGTCCCTCGTCGGGATGGAGACGAGAGATTTTCACTGCGGTTTGTAGAAGACCTTACAATGATTGTCAGATCATTTAACCATATGACTTTTAGCTCCCCCCGAGATCCGAGAAGGCCCGCACGACGTAGAGGTTTCCTGGGGTGGAACAGCTATATTTACGTGCAAGGTTCAGGATGACCCGTTAATATCCATCGTTTGGATGAGGGACGAAAAAGAACTCTTCCCGGACGAGAAGAAGTACAAAATTTTGGATAACGGGTCGCTGATGATCCAGAACACCGTTGAAAACGATGGGGGCTACTATGAGTGCATGGTGAAAAGTCCCGAAGGCCAAGTCAAATCCAGGCCGGCGAGAATGGTTGTTCGTCAGCCCGAATACAGCACTCAAGGATATGGTACGTCTATTTGTATCTAATTTAAAACAGTATATTGTAATATATCTAATTTTTTTAGGTGCTCCAAGGTTCACTGTGGTTCCGGAGAGTATATCTGTGGCTCCCGGGGCTCCCGAGGTAACACTTCGTTGCAACGCAGTCGGCGTACCTCTACCTACGATCGAATGGGCCAAAAACGGTATAAGACTTCCTAATTCCTACAAGAACGCCTACCAGCCGGACGGATCCTTGACCATTAGAGAAGTGGATCCCACTGACCATGGGAATTATCAGTGCGAGGCTTCTAACGTAAACGGGCGGGTCATAGCCGATGCAAATGTGATAATTAAAGGTAAATTAATTAGTTCGTAGGCTTCGTGGCAGTTGCCAATGAATTTCACCAGAATTCTTGTATTATATTGGTCTATGGTGTGTCCCGTATCTGCCCAGTCTTCCGCAGCTGCTGATTTTCTATGTGGTTATTCTTCGAAAGACACTAACGCTCATTTAAACTCTGTAGTAGGTTCTTCACTTTGGATGTGTACTCTTGAAGTTTCTTCATCTTTTTAAGGTTCAGATTGTTCATTATCAACCACATCCCCCACCTCTCCGCCTTATTTATGCACCAAAGTGTCGAGCTCCAGTAACGATACAAATTTGTTCCAGCTGCGCCAATATTCACCGTCCAACCGGAAAATGCAGACACTCAAATAGGAGGCGTCATAAAGCTGGAGTGCGTGGCTTCAGGTACTCCGGGTCCAGAGATCGCTTGGTTCAAAAACGACGAAGAACTCCAGCCCCAGGGAAGAATCCACATCACGGAAGACGGCAGCGTCTTGGAGATCAGAGACGCCAAAGAGTCCGACTCGGCCCTCTACATCTGCGAGGCAAGCAACGAAATGGGCATACGCGAAGTCAGCGCCAAGGTGAAGGTCTCCAACTTAGCCTTCCGGCCGCCCAAGCTGATTTTCAAGCCTTACAACATCGAAGCGTTGATAGGCAGCACCATCGAGCTGCCTTGCAAGGCCGAGGGCGATCCCGCGCCCGGCATCACCTGGCAGAAAGACGGCGCTACCATGCAACGAACTGGCAGATTCAAGGTGTCTCTATCGGGTAACCTGCACATCTACAAGGTGGCGACCGAAGATCAGGGTCGCTACGAATGTACCGCTATCAACGATCACGGTCGAGACTCCGCCACGGGTTATGTCACGGTGAAGGAAGCCCCGGACCCGGTAGGCGTGGGGATCGGCGATCAATTCGTGAAGATAGCTTTCGCCGAGGCGTCCGAAGAAGTAGACAGAGCGATAAACAAAACAGTCGACAATCTGATAAATAACAAGGGTTCGCATAATCCTGCGGACCTCTTCAGGATTATAAGGTACCCCGACGCGCCGGCGAGGGAGCTGGCGAGAGCCGCGGAAATTTACGAACGGACGTTGGTGAACATCAGGAAGCACGTCCAGCGCGGCCGGATAGTGATGAACGCCACTTCCGATTTCAACTACAAGGAGATTCTGTCCCCCGATCATTTGAAGCTCATCGCCAGGCTATCAGGTTTGTTTTCTTAAATAACCGATTTCTTAACCGATTCTTAATTTATTTGCAGGTTGTATGACGCACCGCTTGACTCGCAACTGCTCCGACATGTGCTTCCACTCCAAGTACCGCTCCATCGACGGTACTTGCAACAACCTGCAGAATCCGACCTGGGGCGCCTCCTTGACGAGCTTCCGGCGCATCTTGAAGCCGATATACGAAGACGGCTTCGCTAAACCGATCGGGTGGGACAAAGAAAGGAAATATTTCGGTTACCCGAAACCCTCCTCGAGATTAGTCTCGACCACCCTCATCGCCACCTCAAAAATAACCCCCGATCCGGAAATAACCCACATGGTGATGCAGTGGGGTCAGTTCCTCGACCACGACTTGGATCACGCCATCCCGTCGGTCAGCTCGGAAAGCTGGGACGGCATAGACTGTAAGAAGTCCTGCGATTACGCCGCCCCGTGTTATCCCATGGACGTACCCCCGGGAGATCCCAGGATCACCAATAGGAGGTGCATCGACTTCATCCGCTCGTCCTCCATCTGCGGCTCTGGGATGACCTCCGTTTTCTTCGATACCATACAGCCGAGGGAACAGATAAACCAGTTGACTTCGTTCATCGACGCGTCGCAAGTCTACGGCTTCTCCGAAGAGCTGGCGAAGGACCTCAGAGACTTGAACACCGACGGCGGTCGACTGCGCGAAGGTGTCGTCTTCCCCGGACGCAAACCGTTGCTCCCGTACGCGGGAAATCAGGGCATCGATTGCAGACGGAACTTGACCGAGAGCACCGTGAACTGTTTCGTAGCTGGGGACATCCGCGTCAACGAACAGGTAGGTTTGATCGCCATGCACACGCTTTGGATGCGGGAGCACAATCGGGTAGCGAGAGAACTGAACCACTTGAACCCGCACTGGGATTCCGACACGTTATATCACGAAGCGAGGAAGATAGTAGGCAGCGCCGTGCAACACATCACCTACAAACACTGGTTACCGTACGTCCTAGGCGAGAAGGGCATGGAACGACTGGGTCGGTACGAGGGGTACAACCCAGCCTTAAACCCGAGCATCTCCAACGTCTTCGCCACCGCAGCGTTACGTTTCGGTCACACCCTCATCAACCCCGAGCTGCACAGGCTCGACTGGAACTTCAAGCCGATCAGGGAAGGTCACCTGCCCTTGTCCAAGGCGTTCTTCTCGCCCTGGAGGGTAGTGGAGGAGGGCGGGATAGATCCCCTGTTGCGGGGCCTGTTCACTATAGCAGCCAAGATAAAGCGACCCGACGAGAACTTGAACACCGAACTGACGGAGCAGCTGTTCAAAACGGCTCACGCCGTCGCGTTGGATCTGGCCGCCATGAACATCCACAGGTCCCGCGATCACGCCATACCTGGTTACGTGGAATTCCGCAAGTTCTGCAACATGTCGCAAGCGGACAGCTTCGAGGATCTGCGCCACGAAATCAGCGACGCCAACGTCAGGAGGAAGTTGCAGAAGTTGTACGGCCACCCGGGCAACATCGACGTGTTCGTGGGAGGGATATTGGAGGACCAGATCGACGGGGGTAAGATCGGGCCACTCTTCCAGTGCCTGCTCGTAGAACAGTTCAGGAGGTTACGTGACGGCGACAGGTTCTTCTACGAGAGCCCGTCGGTGTTCAAGCCGGAGCAGCTCGTGCAGATCAAACAGTACTCCCTGGCTAGGGTGCTTTGCGATAACGGCGATAATATCACGAGGATAACTAGAAACGTTTTCGAGCTGCCGGAGCTGCAAGGCGGGTATTCGGACTGTTCGGTAGTACCCAAGGTGGACTTGAAGTTGTGGTCGGAATGTTGTAGCGATTGCAGGTATACCGGGCAATTGAACACGATCAGCCGGCTGAACGCCAGAAGGAACCGGAGGAACATCGTCGACGAAAGCGAAGGTTTTACTTCGAGAAGGGACCCGTTGATCTCGAACGCGACCGCCGTGGATTACCAGAAAGAAATGCACAGGATGAAGACTCACATGGTGAAACTGGAGAAGGAGATGAAGGTATTGAGGGCTAATTTGAAGGATATGGTGGGGTATATTAAACGACTGGAAGAAGATAATGAGCTTTAAAAGTACCTCTTTATTTTAATTCTGATATCACAGAAACTGCCATATTACTTTACTTACCGCTACGACGCATTTATTTTAATTTTAAGAACATTGTTTTAAATGTATTTAATAAAGTCGTCAATAATTACTGTTTTTTATATAATAATAATAGTTAAACAACCAATCAGACTTAGGAAGGAAACTACTAGATAGTGACCACAGTGTGAAAATCGTATGATTGCTCGTTGCGGGCTTAATTTCGTTCCGTCTGCGATGACGTCGCCTGAGACCAGCACAAACTTCAATTTCGTCAGTCTTTCTCTCAAGTGACGTCACCAAATGCACGTAAGCATACCGTAATATTGTCACACTACGATAGCGATCTTCCATTCCTTATCACTCTTGATTTGATCATAGTATAAATAAAGATGACAGGTTTTATAGTAGAGTCGCCATCTAGTATTTTCATGCTTAAGTTTGACTAATTGTTTAACTAGTAAAAATTTTCTTGAGCTACGCAAAAGTTTGTGAAACATATCTCATTTTAAGTTGATTATATTTTTTTATTTGTAAATGTAGTCTTTTTTAACAAATCAGTGTTTTACTTATTTTATATTTGTATAGTCTAAATTTTCTCTGAAAAATTATTTTATAATTTTAACTAACTAAAACTATGTGTACGTAATTTAGGTATATTGTGCTTTTTGTAGATATTAAAGTTAATACCCCAATGTAATAATGACATTTACAATTTAGATGCTGAATTAAATACTTTTAACCTTAGATTTTCAGTCATATAAAATATAATAAATGTGATATTTCGGCAAAAATAAGGTGTGCCATGTTCTGTTCAATATATATAGTAGTAATTTGATAACAAACATGCTATTACTTAGTGTATATTATATATTTATTAGAATAAATATTGTTTTATTAATTCTTAGTTAAGATTATTATTTCTTTGTAACCCCAAATTCCTTATTCTAAGATTTTTTGTATAAACCTTCATAAAAATCAATTTGATGTACCTATTAAGTTTCTATAATTCCAGTAAAACAGATTTAGTTCTACTCTGCGACAATAAAAATGAACGTACTATCTAATCTAATCTTCCGTGCACTGTTCTGTGCTCACAAAAAGACTACACCGCTTGTATCCTCTATCATACATATCATATGGTCCCGTAAAAATGAGACGATTTCGCAATGTTGCCAATATAAATCGAACTAGAATTTAGTTGCTTACCAAATTTTATTGTTTAAATTTAGTTGGCATCAATTGAGTCGCACGAGTTTCTGGTGGAGGTAAAATAACCTCACTTTAAATAAGGTTCATTTGTTTATTTTTTAATAGTTATGGATTATAAAAAACTTAAGGAAAGTGCCATTCGTTCATATTTTTATTTGTTTTGTTTTTTTTACAGCTACATTGAATATAATGAAACTTACATATCATACATTTTTTATCATTAAAAGAATCGTTTTTTTTGTTTCCACATTTTACTATGTATATTTTGATTTGAATATAAGACAAACATAAATATTGTTTATATATAATTTTTTTTTAATTTCCGCATATACACTATGTCTTGAGTATATTGATTTATATTTTGTATAATTTTTACCAAATATTATTGCTTTTGTTTACATACATTGGCTTTTCTGTTACCATCAGAAAAATTCATTAATAAACATTTTGTATAGCAATAAGTCTAGAATTTCTGTAAATGAGTCTAAATAAAAATCTAACTATTATAAGTCTTTTAATTTGCATTTAATATTACTTTTTCTAACAAAATGGAGCGGTGTTATCAGCTAGGGGCTGATTGTTGATTGTTTTGAAATCAAACTGCAATTACTGATCCTTCGGATCTATTCATCTGCACTTCCCTCTCATTTTTTTCTTCATCGACCTTTTAATTCCTAATACTGCACAATTGTTGTTTTACCTAAGTACATTAACATTTTTAGGTATATATTAAGATAATCATTAAGGAATATTGCCACGGTAAAAAAATATACCTTGTGTATTCTTTCTAACCTAAAAAAAATATTTTGTTGTTGATTGAAATATTTCAGTCAACGTTTTTAGTCTTTAATACTTATTGCACCAATTCACTTACCTTTAACAAACCTATTTAGCAAAATAAACTAAACAATATAAATAACTTGGTAAAAGTTAGTAGTTTAGCAGATGACTTTTTGTGATTTTAAAATTAGTATTTGTGGAAAATATAAGATCGTGATAACAATTAATTTTACGTTACATTTACATAAAAAAACAAGAAAAAGTACCACAAAATTTTACTCTTAATTTATTATTATTGGGTGTCATTATGCATTCATTTTATTACCTTAGTATTATTTTATTTAATGAGAACTATCTACAAAGTATTTTAAATTTTCCCGCGACACCACTTTGATATTAAACTGACTTTGGTAAGTAACTAGATATGTTAAGTTGGCGACGCTGCGAAATCTTGTTACAATTAGTGTCGTCTGTAAAAATGACCAATTTTCGGCCAATGAGATTTGAATAAAAAATTATATGTCTACGCTCTTGAACTTAAGTTTGTTTAAACAAACGGTGAATTTTAAAATACCGTCTTCCTTATAATAATTAAATTTGTAGATATAATTGTGATATATCGGCAGAAATCCTCATATGTTGGCCATGAATTTGTATTCGCTGGTTCTATACAAATAACGCAGTCTAGATTTTTTGTAGGTTTATAGCTATTCTGTAAATTTCAATGTTCTGTGTATCATACATCACAGATTGTAAACATAACCTTAATATGTCAACGGTATATTTGCTTTAAGTTTTAGGTACTTAAATAAAATTAAAAATGAGCGTTGAATTAAGGCTTATAGATCACATTAGATTTAGCTCTAAACTATCGGTCAATTTTGCTTGCGAATATTCAGAAGATGACAGGATTTTGATTATAGGCGACATAGGAATTTATATTATTGCCCTAAAAGGCTGTATGAGCAACCCTTTCCCTTCGTATTACTGTAAAAATTATTTTTTGGAAATATCTGATTTTACACCCAGTGCCAATATTGGCATCGATATTAACAGTTTTCATAAAGATTTAGAACGGAACGATTTATATGAAGCCACGATGTCCATGGAATATTCAGCTGATCTGAAAAGCACAACCCCTGTAGACCCGTCACCTCTTTGCGCTCAATGGTCTCCGAGAGGAATTGTAGGCAAAACAGATTGTTTGCTGGCTGTTTTAAGTAATTTTTATAACTTGGAAATCTACGTGAAATTCATAGATGAAAACGAAGTCACAGAGTACTGTATGATATGCGGTGTAACTCAAGAGGTTATCGATGAGAAAAAAACAGAATGGAAGTATTCAGATCGGTTGCCCCCTACGGTAAAATACAACGAAATGAAGCGAAGAGTACAAAACATTTCTTGTACAGGTAACGTGCAACGATTCTTCCATGATTCACACTGAATTGTACAATTTTAGCTTTTACTTGGAGTCATTTGTACAAAATAAATGGTAAGGAATATTGTACGATTTTTGTGGGACATATGAATGGTGACGTTACTGTTTGGAGAATAACTGGAAGAGTATCGAATTCCAAAGAAAACTCAAAGCTTCATTTCTTGGGCCGCTATTCTACTCAGCTAGGAAGGATCGTCAGGATGCACTGGCACATTACCAAAGAATATGGTAAATAATTGAAATTTGTGTGTAAAAAAGTAATTTTTTTGTTTTTCGGTAGGAGGAGGATTGTCGTTTGCTGATTCGGAAGGTAAAATGAGCGTTTTGCACGTAAAGTGTCTAGACCAAGAAACCGCGGATATAGACAGTGAGTTGGGATTTTGGACAGAAGCGGACAAGGTAGTAGTCGACAAGATAACTGTAATGATTTACGACGGTCGTACGTACATCATACTCGTTAAACAAAGTTTTTTAATTATATACGGATTAGATGAATCGGGGCAGGTTTTCGACCAGAAGGTTTGCAATGTGGGATGCTACTATATCACAGGTATGTGAGGATTACCCGAGTAATATATTAATTTCCAGTAAAATATTTTTTGTGCGAAAATTTAAAAAAATATAACTGTCCAGGTATTCACCATTTCGACAACACTATATTGGTTTTGACGTTGACGTCTGTTCTGAAACAATACACTCTTTCCATTGTTGACCAAAGAATACATCTGGAAGAAAAACTTATCCCGATTAAGGTGAACGGTGGTAAATTTCGCACCCACGGGTTTTTCTTCTCAAAAAACATGGTGTTCTTTGGACTTATCGCATATCCCTGTATGCTGCACAGTTTTTCCAAACTAAAGACCTTTTTAAACATTTTTTTATTTCATAACGCTTTGTTGAATCCCCTAACGATAATTTGGCATAACAACAGTGGTAGTTTGCGGGACTACTGGGACTGCTTGGAAATGTTAAGGTAAGACTGTGTGTTTGTCTTAAAAAATGTTAAAATTTGATTCATCGAAACTGCAACACCCTGAACACGATAACGACAAACACCCTTATTCCAGGCTGCTCTGCCTCAAGGACAAGCGTTTCCCCTGGCTGGGAATCCCGGCCGAGCTCGATTACGACAATCTGTCCCTATTGAAGCTAAAGACGCTTAGATGGCTCGCTAAATTATCGGAAATGGTGTTCAATACAGTTCCCGTCGTGAAAAACTACGACATAAAACCGTACATAATCCTACACTACCTGGTACAGATCAAGCTGATATTGAAGAGACTAAACGGTTTGTTGAGTAAGAAACAGTCGGGGGAGGAACTGTCGCTTTTTCAGATGCGCAGTATCGATATACAGAATTTTTTCCTGAAGGAGATGGTGGTGAAGAATGTGCTGGCCAAGGCGAACGTGGGGAGAAATTTTATAAACGAGATTAAGCAAGTGATGAGGGTAGCGAATGAGCTGCGGTACCCCGCCATGTTGCACTGTGTTTGGTGCGGAGAAAATATCCTTTCGTTAATTTTAAATTTTTCTGTTTATTTGGGTGTCGCCACAAAAAATATCTTTTCACTTTTCAGGTTAATGTAGATTACAGATTACAGGAATTAATTTCTTACTGAAAAATTAACTATTTGTTGTCAGAAGAGTTCTTTTAATTACGTCAGTTACCGCCAACCAATAGATTGGCCACCTCATTTACCTGACTTAGGTCCATTGGACTATTTTGGCCAAGGAGCTCCGAAAGATCATTTTTTTACTGAACTACTCGCCTTGTACATTTAAAAAAAATAGTGGGAGACATTTTTGATAGATTTTGACTGTTATTATCAAAATTTATTATAATTTTTTCAATAAGGAATCCATTCCTGTAATTTAACGATTTCAAGTTCATTTTCTTAACTCCTTAGCACAGATTATAGGACCGGTGTGCTTGCCGCCTCACGCCGACAGCCGCTGCTCCATAACGATGATGCCGATCTATCTCGTAACTTCCTACAAGTGCCCTTTCTGCAAGGCGCTAGCCCACAAGGAGGTGGGGAAAGAGGAAGACGTGATTTTCTGTCCTTACTGCGACGTTCCCATGGAACAGCTGTACGCGGATGAGAAGACGGAAGAATTCGTTAATAAAGATTATGAATTGAAGAGCGAGGAAGTTAGATCGGTATGTTTCGACGATTGTCTGAAGGAAGGCTTGAGTTTTAGTGATGTAGAAGAGAACGAGAGGGAGTATGTCGTTCTTAGCGACAGTGAAGATGAATCGTCGGAGGATCAGAATAAATTAAGGACCCTGTATGTGAGGTTGAAGGACGTGAGTTTGGAAGACATCGTTAAATTGGATAACGGTGAAGAACAAGAAGCTGGACCGAGTAGGAAGGTGTTAAAATTAACGGGAGGGGACGGTTGATTGTAATTAATTTAACTTGTTCTTTTAAACAGATATTTATAAATTTTTTATTTTTAAGAAAAATTATGTTATTATTTTAACGTAGTCTGACATATCTTGCTATATTAATATTGCAATACCTTTCTGCAACCTGAAAATGTGATAAAATTTTATGTCATGAAACTAGTTTCATTAAAATAAAAGTTATTTAAGAAAAAAAATACTGTGTTCGTTTTTTTATAAATAAAAAAATAATCCCGTATAAATGCAATTTTTAAATTTGAAAATACCGCCATTGATAGTTCCTGTCGTATCGTCACTGAGGGCGCTGTGGTGCTTACTACCCAATGTTTACTATGAAATTGCAGCTTAGTGGGTTTGACTAAAGTAACTGATTTGTCTACTATTTAAGGATGTTTTAAGTCAATTTCCTTACAAGTAATAGATTGTAAAAATTTAATAGAAGCAAGTTTTTGAAAACGCTTATAAATAACAATGCTGTTAGTTCTCGACATCTCGACTGTATTGTAGAGGTCGCCAGCCTCAATCCCGTGACGTTTTTAGAGGTACATTTTTTTGCACTTATCTGCACATTAAACTGTAAAATTTCTCTCCGTTAGGTTTTGACTTATTAAAACACTGCTCAAATATGTATTTCTTTAATTTTCTCAACAGTAGCACACATATATGTATTATAAACGACGCCATATTCCTTCTCTATTACCATTGAACACTGAACTAAAGAATGCATCACGGATCACGCAATAACAGAGCTGTAACACAAGTCTCAACCCGTCTTTTTGCAAGTACCGCTAAATACATAGAAAAAGGGGGTCCGTCTAATTTACATTGGCAATCGCAGAGACGTGTGCGCGAGAGGTATAGCTAGTACGGGCTAATGGCACAGCATGAAAAATATCAACTTATGCTGTGCTAATGCTACGTTCACAGAACTTCAACTGTCACGCACTACACTTAATTTAACCAATCAGCTGCTATACTCGATTCTTTACCTCTTTCTTTTGTTGGACCTTGTTCCCGCTTTGGACCGATCAAAATAACTTAATGGGAAAAAGAAAGAAAATTGTTACCTGGATTTTTATAACGGGAAATGGTAAAGTGACTTTTAATAATCGAAAAAAAAAATAATAAATGCGTGAGCAGGAGTGGCGGAGGGTTGATTTGGGGGGTTGAAAAGTTGTGAGAAATTTGTATCATTGGGATTTCTGGCGAAAGTTGATGTCAAACAAAAAAGTATCCAGTACAAAAGTTGTAGATCATGCAAAAATCTACAACTTTTGTGGAAGTTATTTTTTAAATGCGAAAAACTTCTTATTTTTCGTTTTTATTTCTCATTTCTGTAAAAATAATTTAATTTTGACGAAACTTGGTTAAAGTATACCTTTCTGTGTCTTAAATAACCACAATTTTTTTTAGATAAAAAAATCAATAAGTTTCCGAGATATCCATTTTTTCCGGTCTGAAACACTTTTTCAAAGAAATATTCTACTTGAGAAAAATCATCGTACAGAGTTCTGCCGTGATCATTTTTTTCGTTTAGACATATAGGTACTTTTTGGTGAAATAAAAAAAATTGTAATCACAGTTCAAAAACATCATACTCAAAAATGCAAAAGAAATAAAAAACGACTTGCAACAATGAATTTTTCAGTAGGTTATTGTTGATTTGTTTAAATTAAAAAAAATTCAAAAACTGATTCACCATTGTGCGGAAAAAATATAAAAAACTCTCATTGTTTGACCCAAAACTTTATATATGTACAGTATTGATATAAACATAAGTCGTATAGTAAAATAAATAAAATAAATAATTTTTTTCGTAGGATCGATTAGTGTATTTATTTTTTTAAATTTTGACGAATTCCGGGTAGTTCTGGAGATATCCGGAAAAACTCGAAAAATAGCAGCCACATATTTAAAAAAATTAACCTGATGATGGCCCCTTGAAGACGAAACGTCGGATTGCAAAAATGTTGACGCCATTGGATAGAGCGAAAAAAGTGGCATTGTAAATATGCAATTTATTTTAAAATTCGTTTTCTAATAAAGCCAGAAAAAAATGAAACGATTTTCGGGTGCAAAATTTCGGGTTTTCGGGTTTCGCGTCAACAGTAGACTTTGCAGTTAATACTTTGTATTGCTGAAATCTAATCATCTTAATTTATTATTAGTGCATTTGTAATTCGACTCAGATGTTTATAAATACTAATACTGTACAAAAATAAAGTTTTGGCCCAAACAATGAGACAGTTGTTTTTGTATTTTTTTCCGTATAATTGAATGGTGCCATCAGTTTTCGAATTTTTAATTTAAACAAATTATCAACAATTACTGAAAAAATCATTGTTGCGTCATTTGTTGTTTTTGCATTTTTGAGCATGTTTTTGAACTGTGAATACAGATTTCTTTATTTACAGTACAGTACTCTTAAAAAAGCCTCTCCAAGTAACAAAATGACTAAAATACATATATTAATTCATAATTTTGCCAATATTCTTGATATTAACTCAAACTGAATTAAATTTCTTTTCTTTTAACAATACGTATTTGTAATTTTAATTCACTGTTATTAATAAATAATAGCATAAGCACTATTTGTTTATATGGAATTCCTGTACAAATTGGAGGTATTATTCTTTCTTTCCTTTGTTATTTACAAAACAATGATGAGTCTTTCTCCTGGACATAAGATTTTATTACACTATGAAAAATTGCACTGATAAAAAATATCACAATTTGAGACTCAATTTTGAAATGACTAGAGATAATTGAATCACCACACATTCAACAGAGCTGATACTGGTAATTACTATTACCATAAAAGCAGTGATTATTTAACACGTAGCTATTACCGTTCCCCTCCCAGTATCTAAACCCATGAAAGTTCTTATTCGAGTTGTACTTGAAAGGCACGTCCGGCATCTTGTAGTTTGGCCAACAGCTCCCGTAACCCTCCTCGTAGAAGGGCTGCTGGTTATACTTGGCCCCTTCCACTCCGTAATCGTAAGGATAGTTCTCCGGTTCCCCAAAATAGTAGGCCATATGTGCGGCATTTCCATTTATACTCCCCATTAAAGTCCCCGCAAGTAAGTTGGCGGTGGTCTGGCTCAGCTCCCTGCTCAGAATTTTTATGAACCTCGCGATATCCATCGGCCGGCCTTCTTGGAGCGTTTGGGTCATAGCTATGATGTAGTTTCTGGCCAGGCGGAGGGTTTCTATCTTGGACAACTTCTGAGGAGCCGAATTTAGGTCCGAGTGCGTCAGCTGGATAGGCATTCGACTAAAATAAAGAAAAAGTTATAAGACAAAAACACGGAATGATCTTTTTGCTCATCATAAGTTTTTTTTCCCAAACGGAGCAGACTTAAATAATAAAGAACAAAATATCTCACCTTCTTAATCTGTCCAGAGCAGCGTTCAAGCCGTGCATCCGGTTCCTCTCCCTGGCGTTGGCCTTCGACCTCCTCAGTTTCACCTTTAGCACTCTAGTTTTCTGTTCTCTCTTCTGTTCTATGACCGGTCGTACGCTTTCCATCGCTCCACATCACCAACTTCTGACGCTGGGCGACGAGATGGGGTGAATATAACGGCGTTGCTATCATATTTACCTTCTGATTTAATTTTTACGGATATTAGATACGGGGTGTCCCCAAAGAACGAACAAAAACGAATGTGTTTAAAAGTTGCAACAATTAAATGTCTTGAAAAAATCGCCTGTTAGTTTTATTATAAAGAAACTCAAATAAAATCCACGCACGTGGAGACTTTTCAATTGTCCTTAAATTGTAGCTCGAAATTTAAAGTTTTCTTCTTAGGAAATGACACAACCGTCAAAAAAAATAAGTAAAAATTATTCAGGAAACTTAAACTTTTATCTTAATAAAAATACGTTTTTCATTCTTGCACTGGAATTTAAAACTGTTCAAAAAGTTTCTCGAATAATTCCTACCATGTTTTTCAATTTCATCTGCTTTCAAATTAACAAAACGATTTGATACCCACACTCCTTGTAGTCCAGTTACTCAGGATTTTTACCTCCGAATTCTTTATAACTGAACCGATTGACGTAAAATTTTGACTGAATGTTGGCAGAGCTTGGTAATTCCTGGTGAAAAAGTAATTAGCAATTACAATTCCCTTTTTTTTTCCTGTAATTGTAATTGTATTTAAGTACTTTTTTTTATTAAAGTAATTTGGAATTGTAATTGCAGCAAAATTGTTACAGGAATTGTAATTTGTAATTAAATTATTTGAACTATCGAATTACAAATTACTTCTATAAGTACAAATACTTTTTCCAATTACAATTACTTTTTCTAATAATTATAATTACTTTTAAGATCATGCGTATTGCGTAATTGCGTACAGATTTGCAGACTTCTATTATTTCATTTGAGGAAAGCCTTGTGTCTCGTGAACAATAAAAAGTGATTTGGTGAATTAACCTCAGAATTAAGAGAGTACATTTTATTTTATTATAATTATTATTAATTTAGAAAATATACGAAGTAAAAATATGTTGTCTATAGCATCAAGTTTTATAAAAATATATATTATGTATCTACTGTGTTACTGCTCTTATTTTGAGTTGAGAAAACTTCTGGTTCGGTTACTCGGCCTTTCACTCGTACTTGTTCGATTCGTAATTTTTTTAATAATAATTATTGCTTTCCAGTCTACCCAAAACTACTGTATTCTATATTTTGCAAATGTACTAACAACCAAAAAAAAGAGCATCGGGTTGAATTAATTACCTGACCAATAATATAAAATTATAGTATGAACTGAACTGGTTTAAATTATTAGATTAGGAATAAAAATATAAAAATTCTATATTAGAAAATGAATAATAATAATCTTTTCATTTTAGTATCAATTCAAATAAATAATAAATAAATAATAAAACTCAATATTACACAACACTTAATTTAAATTTTTAACTTAACTTTTTCCTTTTTCTCTGTTTGGTCACTATAACTTTATCATAAAAGTAATTAGAAAAATAATTGCTAAATCCATTTTCCATGTAACTGTAATGTATTAATTATAATTATAATATAATGTATTATATTAATGTATTAATATAATTCCTTTTTTAAAGAATATACTTTGTAATTGTAATTAGTTCCATTTTTTTAAGAGTAATTTGTAATTGTAACTATTTTTAAATTACAAGTAATTACCCAGCTCTGAATGTTGGGAATGCCTCAAGGAACAAAACTTATATAGTGCCGCAGTGTGATTTTGCCCTGGGGGTGGTTCCCACCCCTTTTTGGGGGTGGAAATTTTTACGCCCGAAATAATCACAGGAGTCAATTTTAAGTAACAAATACTATATAAAGTTTTTTTGGATATTCAATACTTTCCGAGTAATTCGTCATTGAAAATGTTGATTTTTTACTGAAAAAGTGCTTGTTTTCGGACAGTTTTTTTGCGAATAACTCTGAAACCATTGGATTTAACGAAAAAGTTGTAATGAACAAAAAGAAAGGTAATAAAAAAACAAATCTAATGGCATTATCTTGTTTTTCTCTAATTGCAATATAAACCGAGTTATGGATTTTTAAACATTATTATATGTTAGCAAAAAACTAAATTGAAACCAGTTAACGTTAAATCACGCCAAAACCATAAATACTAGGAAAAAAACTATTTGCACCGTTTTGAAAAACCTTTGAAATGAGCTGTTTTAAAAGTCTTTAGAATCAAAATTAACGGAAATATGATCGAAATAACATGATAGTCTCATTTTTTTTAAGAAAAAATTACTAAACAATTCGGTGCCTTTGGTGACAGAATTAAAATTAAATGCAATCCATTTACAGATTTCATCATTTATGTTCTAAGAATATGTTCTGGGTCTTTGGCTCACTTACACAGAGCATGATTTCGAAAAAAAACTTAATTTTTGAAAATGTTAATTTTTCAAATTTTTGAAAGAAATTCGATTTTTACGCTGTAACTTAAAAATTAAAGGGTGTACGAAAAAAATACAAGGGTAAAAAAATTTAGCTTTATTATTGCTGAAGATTTTGCTTAAAATTTTTATTCCTCTAAAATTAATATTAATCGAGATATCGCTATTTTAAGTTATCATATGAATGAGAGAACCACCCTTTTCGAGCCGTTTAAACCCTTCAAACTTAAAAATGAAGTGCTTAAAAAAGATCAACTCAACAGTTCACGTAGCCCTTACAATTCCCTGCAAAATGAGCCTTTGTGCGATTAAAAATCTTAAAAAGTAAAAAAGTTATCGTCAAAAAAATAAACACGTGTATAGGTGATAATTTTAGGAAATTTAGATATTTTTTGTATATATACGTATTTAGTATGTGTATATTCGAATAAACCAGTACTATATTATAATACACTCTATAAAATTATTTTATAAGAAGGGAATAAATGTTTATTTAATACAAATGCACATTTAAAATGTTTCTACTCTTTCAATAATATTTTTTCATTTTATTTTCGAAAGAAGAAGTATTTTTTAAGGGTTGAAAAGTTGCAATCGATAAAAAAGATTTTTTAATCAAGATATCAATTTTAATTTGATAAAAATGCATGATGCGTTTCAAGTTGAAAATTTTTTTTTATATTATTTTCATCAAAAGGGGTGGTTTTTAAAGGTTTTTCCGGGTCGAAAATTTGGGATACATTAAGTTTCATGTTAGATAGCACATGAAATTACTCATACTGCATAAATAAAAAGGATTTGATTACATAAAATGCTTAAATTTGTATTTTTTCTTTTTCTTCCAATAAGGGGTGGTTTTCACTCCTTAAGAACAAAAAGCACACCTAGCGCATATATAAGTTTTGAAGTGGGGGGTAAGATGAGCCTAATTGTAAATTTTGAGAAAAATCGATGCAGTTATAAAAAATTCGGAAGCATTACTATATTTTCAGCTACAGTAACTGGGCTATTGGCATATTTGACAGAATTTGGTAGTGTAAATTAATTTTCGTTATTATTCCGTAGACCACCCCGTATTTTGCAGGATCAAGTGCAATAGTAGATAAGGGCCGTTTATTTATCTCGCCATATGTCACCGCATATGGCTCGTGAGAACATCGGCTATATTGCTAATTATCGGGTATTTGTCGCATTAAGAGCGGTGGTTTTCTCCAATTATCTTTGCTGATAACGTTTCGTGGCATATGGTGCGGCGTGATGCCGATGGATAACCTGTTTATATTAATTTTACCTCCAATTTTGTTACTGGGAAGTTTTATTGTCCCCTGCACATACCTTATACTGAACGTTGTGTTATTATGTGGCATGACAAATGCCACAATTGCCACAAAGTATTTTTTCCTGAAATGTTGCTTCTATTCAGTCAATTGTGGCCAGTACACGCTTTTAATTAAATGATTACCATAGAAACGAAACATTAGATCGATATAGTTGCATTTATATGGAAACTGCAACCACCTCTTTCTGTCTTTGTGAAAGGTGTTAGCCCTTGCGTCACTTCTTTGCGTTTTTACAAAAAAATGTCCGTAATTCTAATAACGAAACACGACGAGAATATATACAACATCGTGACGACTGAGCAAGAAGAGAAAATTAAAAGGGAGATAAAAACGATTCGTTCCAGACCTCCTACGTACAAGAGCAAATTTCGCAAGTACCGTAATGATTACAGGAAATGTGTCAAAGCCCATGCCACCATGGGGGTAGCCGAGGAGGTACTGCCAGATCCTGCGCACTATCTAAAAAAACATTCAGGTAGGTATAATTATAAATATAATTGCTTGTCTAAACCGATCTAAAAGTTGAGTTATTTTCCCAACAAATAGGGTATATGTATCAGTATTTGATTGTTTCGTTTCATTTATTAGGTAAGCCGATATGTTCTAACTTATGCTATAAGCAACAAAAGAAAGATCCGCCGTTCCCCAAACGTGAAGTGGAGAGGGTCCCTTCGTTCAACCAATGGAAGAACCGAATCATCAAGCACGATCCCCCGAAGGACTTCGTCCTGGAGAACATTAAAAAAATTTCGAATATGAAACCGAAAGAGCCTGAGCAACGATTGGTCGTAGACCATACCGGTACCAGCAAACCACTGCGTCCAGGGTTAGAACCTATATTTATTAGATCAACACATTTTGGTAAAGCTCCACGTTATTTGCTGAATATAATCGATCTAGATAAAAAGAAATACTTGACGATAAAGGAAGAAAGCGGGATACAGAAACCAAAGTGCAGATATATTACAAGAGAAGAGAGAGCTCAATTATTGAAAGGGTTGAAACAGAATTGGGAAGAGCTTCAGAAACAGTATCAAGGTTTGCCTATTCTGACTGATACGATCCCTAAAATGGTGCGAAAAGATAGAATAGAATCGAATCTAAAACAAATTGAGAAAGATATCCAACTTGTCGAAAGACATCCCTATATTTATGTTTATGATGACGATAATTTCCCGTAACAGTACCTTGTGAAATTAAAAAGAATAAAGGATACTTTTAAAATTAGAAATTGTATACCTTTAGTTTTATTCATTTTTGTAACACGTCAAAAAATCCCGTAATCAGGTAACCAGTTTTCATATAAGTCGCGAAAAAATTAAATTGCGTTTCTAAGCCCGTTTTAGGAATTATTATGCAGCCAAGTATACACACATGTGTATTGTGTGTTGCCTCGTAACAAGAGCTTTGGAACTGGAAAGACAAATATGAAAAATCTCGAAAACTAGAGAAGCTAGAGAGGAACTGGCAGCAGTTTCGGATTAGTCAGGGCCGTTATTGACCACTTGATTTTTTTCAAAATTTTTAGAGGCCTAAAAATTTTTGAGAAAATTAGTCCATTGAATTTTTAGGACAAAAAATTTTAGGAGCTCCGAAAATTCTGAAAAAATTCTTCCAGACTATAAGGTACTGGCAAATCCAAAACTGAAAGGAATTTCTCTCTAGCTCGCGTAATTTTCCAGATATTCAATTTTTTTCTTCAGGCAAGCAGCTTACAAAGAACGGACTACATCGGCGTTTTCTGCGGCCCAAATTAAAGACATGTTGTCGTATTTAGACAGCATTCCAATTTTTTGAGAATATTCTTGAAAATTATCGTCAAAAAATTAAAAGTACGTTTCTAAAGGCAATTTGTGCAGCCAAGTATACACACGAATTTATTGTATGTTGCCTACCTAACAAAACTTTGGAACTGGAAGAAAAAACAAAAAATCTCGAAAGCTAGTGGAGCTAGATAGGAACCGACAGCAGTTTTGGATTGGTAAGGGTCATTATTGTTTATCTTAATTTTTTCAGAATTTTCAGTCCTAAAAATTTTTGACAAATTCGATTTTTTCGACCAAAAAATTTTAGGGGCCCGGAAAAATCTGAACAAATTCCTCCAGACTATAATGGGACTGGCAAATCCAAAACTAAAACGAATTTCTCTCTAACTGGCGTAATTTTTGAGATTATCAATTTTCTTTAAGAAAGCAACTTTCGAAAATAGCGGACTAGATTGGCGTATTCTGCGGCCCTAACTACATATGGGGTGCCGTCTTAAGCCGGAATTCTAGTTTTTTGAGAAATTTCACGAAAATTATCGTCAAAAAATTATAATGCCAGGCTAAAGGTGGTTTTAGGAATTATTATGCAGCCAAGTATACAGACATGTATTGTATGTTGCCTACCTACCAAAAGCTTTAGAACTAGAGGAAAAATATAAAAAATCTCAAAAACTGAGGACTGTTTTGGATTAGTCAGGGCCGTTATTGACCACCTGAATTTTTTCAGAATTTTCAGAGCCCTAAAAATTTTTAAGAAAATCGGCAGTCGTCCATCGATTTTTTCGACCAAAAAATTTTAGGGGCCCGGAAAAATCTTAACAAATTCCTCCAGACTAAAACGGGACTGGCAAATCCAAAACTGAAAGGAATTTCTCTCTAGCTCCCGTAATTTTTGAGATAATCAATTTTCTCCATTAGGAGGGCAACTTACGAAAGTAGCGGACTAGATCGGCGTTTTCTGGGCCCTAACTACATATGAGGTGCCGTCTTCAGCGGAATTCTAGTTTTTTGAGAATTTTCACGAAAATTATCGTCATAAAATTAAAAAGCCAGGCTAAAGGCGGTTTTAGGAATTATTATGCAGCTTCAACAGCTTCAACATTCACACGAATGTTTTGTATGTTGCCTACCTAACAAAACTTTGGAACTGGAAGAAAAAACAAAAAATCTCGAAAACTAGTGGAGCTAGATAGGAACCGACAGCAGTTTTGGATTAGTCAGGGCCATTTTTGTCTATCTGAATTTTTTTTCAGAATTTTCAGAGCCCTAAAATTTTTTGAGATAAACGATTTTTTAGGAAAAAAAATTTTAGGAGCTCCGAAAAATCTGAAAAAATTCTTCCAGACTATAACGGCACTGGCAAATCCAAAACTGAAAGGAATTTCTCTCTAGCTCGCGTAATTTTCCAGATATTCAATACTTTTCTTCAGCAAAACAACACAATAAAACGGATTACATCAGCAGATCACCCAAACTAGATAGGGTGCCGTCAGTCGACGGCATTTTAATTTATTTACAATTTTCATGAAAATTACCTAAAAAGCAAAGTGCTCAACTAAAAGCCGGTTTGTCTCAACTTTGAGAATATATTGTTATACGAAGCAGAATGAAAAATTTCTTCCTTAACGTAATCGCACTGGCTGGATCGAGGAAGATTCGACGTTTTTCTGTGTAGGTGAGATGTATTGTTCCCATGTAATTTTTTTGTGAACTGTTAAACTACAATAGAAAATAGGGAAATTGAATTACAGTTCTATAAAAAGATGAAGATTTATTTATAAATCTGTTGTTTATATTTAATGTATTTACCCATAATCTACAATTATATAATAATTTTGGGAACTCTTATGCAGCCAAGTATACAAACTTGTGTATTATGTGTTGCCTACCTATAAAGTTTTAGAACTGGAAAAAATTTATGAAAAATCTCGAAAACTGGAGGAATTCGAGAAGAACTGACAGCAGTTTTGGATTGGTCGGAGCCGTTATTGTCTGCCTGAATTTTTTCTGAATTTTCAGAACCCTAAAAATTTTTGAGAAAAACGATGGACCCATCGATTTTTTAAGACAAAATATTTTAGGAGATCCGAAAAATCTGAAAAAAATCGTCTAGGGCTAGAAAATCCAAAACTGAAATGAATTTCTGTCTAGAGAATATTTCAATCCTCTAAAAAATTATTTTGCAGTTTAGTGTAGCTTGCCACCAATAGATGACGGTATGAAATTTTGGAACTATTTCATGTAATTTCATTGGTCAATTGATCAGTATCGACATATGTGAGCTTGCGAGCGTTCCATTTCACTGATCGAAAAGATAATAGGGATAATGTATTTCTGTGTTGGTAGCACTGTTGCGGAGTTTATCTTTACTTGTTATTTTGAGGGTGGGGTATAGTGTGCGTCTATTATAATTAAATTTAGAAAATCCAGGTTTATAGTGTGATTTTATCAAAAAAATAAGTGCAGTAATTCAAAACAGTGTATATAAGGTATAATTCGAGCTAAAGGAAGTTTAAGAGATCCACACAGAATGGCTATGACTTCGTCCCAGGTGAAACGCGAACAACAAAATAACATGGCCGGTAGCGGCACGGGATGGCCTAGGAGAAACAGCCAGAACTCGACAACAGCGGCGGCGAATTCAACTTTCGACGCCAAATTCACCCCAACGCCGCCCGCTATCAATCGAATAATAAATCTGTTAGTCATTAAACATATTTTATGTTGATGTTGTTATAATATCGATTTCGCAGGTATCCTCTAACTAATTACATATTCGGCACGAAAGAACCGCTATTTGAGAAGGATCCAAGTGTGCCTGCTAGATTTCAGAGAATGAGGGACGAATTTGAGAGGATAGGAATGAGAAGAAGTGTTGAAGGTGTGTTGCTTGTCCATGAACACGGTCTTCCACACGTATTACTCTTGCAGTTGGGAACCACTTTCTTTAAACTTCCCGGTGGCGAGTTAAATCCCGGCGAGGACGAGGTGGAAGGGCTAAAGAGACTTTTAACAGAGGTATGTTGGCAGAAGATTCATAAGACTTAATTTTTGCGTTAGAGTTTACTTTGACATAACTGGTTGTAGATATGTTGCGATCGTAAATATTGTTAATGAATGTTGATAATTATTCAACTTTAATAGAAAGATGTCTCGCAGTTTTTTTTTGTATGAATAATGAGATGTGCTTAAATTGTTAAATTATTATTTGACTACACTGAGACTGTTGAGTAAAAATGCGTTTTATGTAAACATGTTTTGTTAATAGTGGTCCGAAAAATGTAATTTAAACTATTTGTTAAGGTAACAAAGAACGAATTATGAACAGATATATTAGATTTAAAATGTTTCTACCTGTTACTTACGATAAATCGAAACACAATGTTTGGGTGTATTGAAAGCTTTTTATCTACTTTTTAAAGGTTATTGTACCTGCTTGGTACTGTAAAACAGCCCTATCACCACTGTTTTTAACTTTTTATTTTCCGTTGTTTTACAGTAGTAAGATTTGTTGTAACTTAACTATTTATTCTTGATTTATAAGAGATTTTTAATAGAATTCATTGTTCCGTGCACTAAAAATAATGTAACAGAGACTGTACAAATTTTCAGGAAAATAAAATACCTAAGTATCACTCTTTTATTTTTATTTGATAACCGATTATGTGAGCCGTGGAAATAAATCGCATGGAAATTACTAAATTGTTATGTACAAGCTATAAATATTTATATATTTCATTGCATTGTTTAATAATCTTTATTGTTTTTGATACATTAATGTTTTGTTAAAGATTCTTTGTATTAATACTTATGAAATAGTACAAGTGCTAAATTTGCAGAAATATTGTAAAATGTATCCGTTCTTGAGGTAAAAATTATAAATATGAGAAGATATATTTTCTTTGAACAATTAGAACGGCTCATACAGATAAGTATCTATGAAAAAAGGAACTACGTTTAGAGGATATAGAGGTTTATGTAAATCGTAAAAAAACTGTTCTACATTTTTTGTTTGAAATGTTACACAGAAAAGTGTGCCATCACTTAGAAATGTTATTTTTTTTTAACTTAGAAAGCAATTCGAACCCTTCACTAAAAATGGGCTCCAATTTCAACATTAATTTTCTCAAGGCTAGCGTATACGATTTTGATAATCCTTTTCTTAATCTGGTTTATTCCCCCAATAGCGACACTAAGTAATTTTTATTGAAATTTCAATTTTTGGCATATACAGGACGCGAAAAAAAATAATTTCCTCGATTCGAAACATCCTGCAGAACGTGGAATGTATCAGCTAAAACAGCGAAAGTCTACTGAAAGTGTAGCCCTATATTTCTTATTGTTATTAGCTGAGATACACGATAAAACGTTAAAAATTTAAAAAAAGCTGATCCCATCAAGTGGGACATGGATATTCGGCTTTGCCGATGACGTCGACGATTGCCCCATGATTTTCTACGCTTAGGATAATCGTAGCGTATCCATTTTTCATCGCCAGTTGCGATACAATGCAAAACTAGCTATTTTAGCTGTCACTTTCTACAGACTGTTACAAATTCCGAAGAAAATAAAGAGTGACCGCAAAAAATCTGTGATTTTCGCCCATTTTTTCACAATTCGCAGAGAATTAAAAAAAAATACATAAAAATATGTTTTTGGTCGCAAATTACTTGTCGTAAAAAACGTAAATGAGCATAGCTTTTAGTGTTTTGAAATTTTAAGAAATCGCTTCTACGTAGGGGTTGAAAAAATGCCAAAAATGAAGAATTTGAATATTACCAATTGATATAAAAATTATTAGCATGTGAATTATGTTGATATATTTTTTTTTGGAATTTTTACAATTATTTCTGATATTCTCTATTTTTGGGGATGATTCCGCCCCTTGAGCGCGCTTAAGGGTGGATTTTCTAATTCAACACGCTTATTTCCGTCATGAGAATAAATCTTTGTATCAAGAATCATTCGATAGAAAAATTCACATGCTAATAGTTTTTATTGGTAATATTCAATTCTTCATTTTGGACGTCTTTTCAACCCCTAAATAGGGGTGATTTTTGAAAATTCAAGTTCATCTTAATTTTTTACGACGAGTAATTTGAGACTAAAAACATATTTTTATCTGTTTTCATTAGTTCTCTGCGAATTGTGAAAAAATGGGCGATTCTTGCCGTCGCTCTTTAATTCTTATCCTCTGTATATGCTGAAAATTAATATTCCTGTTTTGGAGTCATTGGTGACTTGGTAAGAAATAAACTTTGATTAAAAAAGATCGTTAAAATCAGTTTAGCTGTTCGTGAGGAAATCATCTTTGGGGCGAGTTTTTAGGGGTGTGTTAATTATGCAAAGTGTATGTCATATTTGTGCAAAGTTCGACTGAGAACTAAGAAATAATTCCAGAGAAGTTTACCGATGTACAATTTATTCAATGAACTTAAATCGTTATCAGCATCTACAATGTAAAAATATGTAAACTGTTTAAAAAAAAATCGCCTTGTTTTTCAACACCGTTAAATAAAAATTTTGCTGGGAGTTGGAACCAGAAGTTTTAACAGCCCCTTCTTAGGTTAATTTTTAATGAACTGGATCCACATACCAGTAAAATTGATATATCTTCCGTAATGTTACTTTTGTTCTTGTAAAAAAAATGTTTGTGGTGCCCCTTATAGTGTAAATGCAATTATTTTATTATTTATGTTGATGTAAATCTCGATTTTTACAATTGGCACCTTTAAACATTTCAAGGTATTTCTAGTTGTTTTGTTCCAAGGTCAAATAAATTTACTTGTATATAATGTGCTAAAAATAATTAATTTTTAGTTATATACAGGGGTAACTTCGAATGGGGGTCATATTTATACGAACGCTACCTTTGACATTGTTTCAAGTTCCGAAAAATCTAGTTTTTAACCTTTTCTCATAATTTTCATTGCGGAACACGTATTATTACTCCCAAAAACCAATCCCCACTTAAAGTTACAGCCTTCGATCATACAAATGCAGATCCGAAGCCACATTTATTTAAATGAGTTATAATATAAGAAAAAAATAAATGAATATTTAGTCTTTGCCTCGTAAAAGTATTTGGCCTTCCGTAATAAACCTGTAACCTATATTTAACTGATTTTTGTTGAGTCTTCTAAGCAACAAAAGCCTTGAAGAGGGGAGGATGTTTGGTATTTTTTATGGTGAGTTGTTGCAGACCCTCGGGAGGTTGGATGGCGTCAAACAGGACTGGCTCGTCGAAGACATTATCGGCAACTGGTGGAGGCCCAACTTCGAACCACCTCAGTATCCCTACATTCCGCCGCACATTACTAAGCCTAAGGAACATAAAAGGCTGTTTTTAGTTCAGCTACAAGAAAAGGGTATTGTATAATAATGAGAAGATTGTATTCATTATTGTATCTTAGTAGTATTATTATTCGTTTATAAATGACTAGCCGGAAAACCAGAAAATATGCCGACGTCGCCATCGTATAAAAGTGATGTTCGTGTAAAATCTCCACGTCATGTTTGTGATAGTCCCAATTAGAATATGCTCGAGCGAAATTTTACATGCCGTCTTTTATGTGGTAGACTGAACGACAACCGAAACATGACGTGCAACGAAGTAGTTACAAAAATTTTTGAGACACCTTGTATATTGCATATTTTTGTCAGGTTTCGAATCGCTGTGAAAAATAATTACTTTACATTATCCGAAATTAAAGTGTGTTTAAAAAATCGTATTAACAGTTTATGGATTTTAGATTTTCTTACTTAAACTTTCTGCATATCTCGAGGGTGTTACGGTAATTATTTTTCACTTACACAAGTCCGATTTTTAACGAAATTCTGTACACTACATATTTAGTTGCTAAAAGTTTGTGTAAATATATTTGTCTCCGTTTCGGTTCAGAACTTCTGTTTTTATTTTGTCCGTTACCGAATGAGAGCTGCATGTCTTGAATGTGTACTTGAACGAGAGTCGATATTTTTGCTGTTATCAGCACTATTTTTCCACTTATATATATTTTTTGTGCATTCCGATCCACCTTTGTTATTTTTTTCCACTAATATAATCCCTATTGTTTTTTTTTTGATACTTTTTATTTTTGGTAAGAAACCTGTATGCTTACTTAAGAGAAACAGAAAAATGGCAGTTTTGGGTATTCAGTCTTGTTTTTCAAAAGTTTTAGTATGATCTATAAAATGAGTAAGTTTTTTTTTATCGAAATTTTCTGTAGACTTTGGCTGAATAAATAAAACTGTAATATAAATATTAATTGCGAACACTCAGGAATAAAGAGATATACAAACAAATTAGTCAAACCCAATTACACTTGGAAAAAAAAATTGTGACCTGAACTTTTATAAGTGGAAATGGTAAAAGGGCTTATAATAAACCTAAAAAAAATTAATGCGTGGGCAGGGGTGGCGGAGGGTTGATTTGGCGTGTTGAAAAGTTGCGAAAAATTGTATCATTGGGATTTCTGGCGAGATTTGATGTCAAACAAAAAAGTATCCAATGTAAAAGTTGTAGATCATGCAAAAATCTACAACTTTTGTAGAGGTCACTTTTTACGGTAACCTCAAAATTTCCGAGAAAAATTTGAAAAACTGTTTTTTTTTTTATTTTTCGTTTTTTATTTCTCATTTCCCCAAAATTAACTTAATTTCTAGGAAACTTGGTAAAAGTATACCTTTCTGTGTCTTAAATAACCACAAATTTTTTTAGATAAAAAAATGAAGAAGTTTCCGAGTTATTCATTTTTTTCGGTCTGAAACACTTTTTTTCAAAGAAAAATTCTACTTTGGAAAATCATCGTACAGAGTTCTGCCGGTGATCATTTTTTTCGATTTGACATATACTTTTTGGTGAAATAAAAAAATCTGTAATCACAGTTCAAAAATGCAAAAAAAATTAAAAATTACTTGCAACAATGAAATTTTTAGTAATTGTTGATAATTTGTTTAAATTAAAAAAAAATCAAAAACTGATTACACCATTCAATTCTACGGGAAAAAATACAAAATAAAATTGTGTGTAGGAAATGGTAAAAGATGACCGTATCTCTTACCGTGGGCCCAGAGTAGAAAAAAGTTGTTTTTTTATACTTGACAAAATGCCTTTTAAAAAGTTTTAAAATTCCGGGTGGTTCCGGTGATATCCGGAAAAACCCGAAATTTTGCAAAATGTTTAATTTTTTTTCTGGCTTTATTTGAAAACGATTTTTAAAATAAATTGCATATTTACAATACCAGTTTTTTCGAATATCGTCAACATTTTTGCAATCGGCCGTTTCATCTTCGAAGGGCCATTATCAGGTTAATTTTTTTAAATATGTCGCTATTTTTATGACCAAATTTAAAATCATTTTTAATTCTGAATTAGATGATATTGCTATTACAATCGCCTAAAAAGGTTTTTAGTTATGATTTAAAATTTCTCCTGAGTACGGCTTTGAACCCTTTCAAAATATCTGTTGGATGAAGTCAAACAAGTATAAAAGTTAATACCGCACAAAATATCCAACAATTTTTTTCACTATTATTACCAATACTAATTAGAAATAATAAAACACTTCATAAATTTGTATTATTTTTTTATTAGGTACAACTTTTTAAATTATTGATTAAAAAAAATTGTTGGATATTTTGTGCTGTATTGACTTTAAATACTGTTATGACTTCCTTCAATAAATATTGTTGAAAGCGTTCAGAGCCGTACTAAGGAGAAATTTTAAATTATAGCTAAAAACCTTTTTAAGCGATTACAATAGTGATATCATCTAACTCAGAATTAGAAATGACTTTAGATTTTGTCATAAAAATAACAGCGACATATTTAAAATAAAAAAATATACCTGATGATGGGCCCTCAAAGACGAAACGTTAGTATTGCAAAAACTTTGACGCCATTGGATAAAGCGAAAAAACTGATAATGTGAAATGTGCAATTTATTTTAAAATTCATTTTCAAATAAAGGCAGCACAAAAATAAAACAATTTTGCAAAAGGTCGAGTTTTTGGAAGTATTGGGTCAAACAATGACACAATTTTTTTTGTATTTTTTTCCGTAAAATTGAATGGTGTAATCAGTTTTTGAATTTTTTTTTTAATTTAAACAAATTATCAACAATTACTGAAATATTTCACCAAAAATTATGTCAAAACGAAAAAAAATGATCATCGGCAGAACAATGATTTTTCTAAGTAGAAAATTTCTTTGAAAAGAAAGTGTTTCAGACCGGAAAAAATAAATATCTCGGACATTTCTTAAATTTCTTATCTAAAAAAAATTTGCAGACACAAAAAGGTATACTTTCACCAAGTTTCGTCAAAATTAAATTATTTTTACGGAAATGAGAAATAAAAAACGAAAAATAAGAAAATAAAACTATTTTTTGCATTTTTCTCGGAAATTTTGAAGTTATCTTAAAAAGTGACCTCTACAAAAGTTGTAGATTTTTGCATGATCTACAACTTTTGTATTGGATACTTTTTTGTTTGACCTCAACTTTCGCCACAAATCCCAATGATACAACTTTTCAACCCTCCGCCGCTCCTGCTTACGCATTTATTTTTTTTTCTTTTATTATAAGCCCCTTTACCATTTCCACTTATAAAAGTCCAGATAACAATTTTCATTTTTGTCCCTCTAAATGATCGATCAGTCTAAATGACTAGATTGGTTTTATAAAACATGGCCTACTTGTAAACACCGCGTATTTTCGTATTTTTGTTTGTATATCTTGAGCAATATTGTTTATACTTTTAACATTGTCGATTATTAACTTTGTGACATTTTCATGAATTGTTTTTCAACCATCTGAACTGCTTTCAGTAGAGAATAGAAAGGTTAATGAATTTCCTGTAACGATAAAGTAAAAAAAATCGCATTTTGTTTGTGAATAGAGAAATAGTTAATATCTTGTTATTAAAATTTTTGTTTCGTAAAATATCGAAACCCTTTTGAAATTTATGTTTAACGATTTGTATAACATAAGATCTCTAGTATAGAATACATATTTCACATTTGTAAGCCAGAAAGATATTTGAAAATTTGTTCTCTAATCTCCCTTTTGAATTTCAGTAATAAAATGTCCTGAACGAGTAAACTATTGAAATATTAAGTAAATTCCCTTCTTATATTCATTTATTAACTTATCGTTGATTACGCTCGTTCTTTTGGTGAAACATTTACCGCTGAATTTAAAATCTCGAGACCGACAACATTTTCCGTGAACGATAAATTTTTTGTCAAAGATCTTGTCGCGTAATCAACCCACTAAAACGAATTGTACGCTAATTATTGTGTTTAGTATTAGAGTATATGTATCCAACGATACGTAAGTTCGAAAATCGCTGACGTTCGTTTCACTTTTACAGCACTTTTCGCCGTTCCCAAAAACTACAAGTTAGTAGCGGCGCCGTTGTTCGAGTTGTACGACAATTCGCAGGGATATGGCCCCATTATCTCGTCGCTACCGCAGGCGTTGTGCAGGTGGGTTAACGCACTGTTTCCGCTTTAAATTACGCCATATTTTCGCCAATCCGTAATAAAATCATGTATGTAAGACGAACGTGTAAATATAATTGCGATTTTTTCCAGGTTCCAGTTCATTTACATGTGATGTTCGACTAATTAAGAAAACTAGATTATTATGAAAAGTAAGTATGTGTTTTGCAACCAAAGGTGTCTCGTCGTCGACAGCGTGCATAATAGATAAAAAAAATATCTTGCACAAGTTGCTCGTTTTCCAAGATTGTCTCGAAAAGTGCAAAATCGATTAAATTAGGGCTAAAATGTTGAATTTACAGGAAATATTGGTTTTTGTCTTCTTTTTTTAGGATTTTTTGTGCCCATGTTATAGTTTACTTCACCGTTTCAGTCTAAACACCAAATTATCCATTTTTACAAAGAGTGCTTTGAAAACAACATCCAGAGTGCTTTGAAATCAACTGTTTTGGAAATAAATCGTCCAGAGTGCTTTGAGAACAAAACATCCAATACCAAACGAAATTTGGACAGTTTTTATAGAACTAATAGTAGTTTAGGGAACTACCAGTACAATTTTTACGTGGAGAAAAACGAGATATTCTTTAAACTTGTTGCTTTGAAGGATATCTGGTTTTGCTTTATGTAAAACTTCATTTTTTCTATAAATTTTGACGTTCCCAATGACAGATGTCGAAATTTTGTTTGGAGTAGTCGGATGTTTTGTTTTCAAAGCACTCTGGATGATCTATTTTCAAAGCACTTTGGATGTTTCGTTTAAAAACCGTTCTGTTTTTCTGTTTTCAGATGAGGGTGTCACCATCCAACATTTTTTTTTTACGTTTAAATGAAAAAATAACTTGGAGTGTATTTTCTAAGGCGGACATTTAATTTTATCACGTCAAAGACTAGTGTAGATTCCTATGGAGGTCTTGTAATTTGTGAGAAGCCGACAAACGAACAGGGGCGTACAAATTTTAATCGTAATTTCATTGACCAACGACCTATGTGTGTAGAATAGAATTTTTTAGAATTTCGCCCTTTCTCGTTTGTTGGCTTTACGGAATCGTTCGGTTCGCACTCGGTGTGAACTTATTTTTTACGTTAGTGTAGCATAAGATTAAACATTTAATGTGTTATTAAATGCAATAAAACATATTTTGTGTTATTTATGAATTAAAACCTATCGTCAGACAGAATTCTTGTCTTATTTCATAAACTTAGGTATTTAACATTATGGGGAGATATGCATATAAATTCACGAATATTATATTTTTTTTTGTAAATTTTACTAAAAAATATTTTTTCAAAATTATTAACCAAGATATCAAGTAAATAAAACGTAACTGGTATCAAGATTCACATTTTTATTAATAATTTTGAATTTACCACTAAATGATAAATAAAATAAATTTGGCATATTCAGATTAAACACCCTGTATATTAACAAATTTATCTCTGAACATCACCCATTTAGTATGCAACCATAAATACACCTTGCTGTATTCATGGTGTCGAAGTTACATATTTCATATCACATTCGTTTCGATAAATTTCGTGAACATTGAAAGATTTTTTAAGTTTCATTGCAATTTAAATTTATTAAATTTTTCTAAAGTTTGTGTCGAATTGTACGTACACCATGAAATTAACTGGCGAGTGCTCCATAATGACAGAAGTAAAACAAACGAAGGCCCGAACAAAGTGAGGTTAACTTATCTCCCTTATCTTTATAGATTTCCAAAACCGAGGAGGCCATCAAAAACGCTTATGACAGGCTGAATATGTTGGAAACAAAATTGAACAACGAGTCTCTCCCAGAAAACAAACAGAAACTGATCGAGAGGGAATTGCAGGAAGTACGAAAACTGTTGAAAACGCACGAAGATCAGCTTGCGCATTTACGCACACATAACAGGAAAACTTTCATTTTTGTCGTAGCACTAATGTTCGTTATTTTCACCGTTTATATGCTGTATATACTAGTGGGAGGCAGCGACTTTTAGCAGAAAAAAATAAATAATAGACGGTGTTTGATGCAATTTAAATTTATTTGTACTTCATCCTTTTTATTACAGCTGTTGTTTGTTGGCTAGATCAAAAGAAACTCATTCCAGGTAAACTTTAACTGTGATTACTTTTAGAGCCTTTTTATGACCAAATAAAATTCAATACTATTGTTTTAGATGTGAGTTAATTCTATTTTGTCTAACGTTTATAGTTCCGAGCGGATCGTATGTAAATACTTTTCAGTTAATATACAAATACCATTCTTATTGACATTATTTATAGACAAGTATATGTACGTTACGCTGGCAGCTAGCCGTTACGTTTATTTGTATTCATTTAATTTGAGCATTTTTAGGAATTTTTAACTGTAACCATAGCCATATTTTTTAAGGTTTATATTATGAAAAATATTTTACTTAAATATATTTATACTTTTATACACAAGTATTTCTTTAAAACTACTTGGGATCGTTTACCGAAACTGGCATTGCGTTATAAAGATTTTTATACTCAAAAGTAATCCAGGTTGTCCAGATCTGATCACGGTAGAGCTTGTAAATACAGGGTGGTTCGACTTTAATGGATCAAACAAGTGAATTATTAAAAAATAAAAAAAATCCATCGTATAAAAAAAGTACCTAAAAAAAATGAATGTTATTTTTGTAAATACAAAAATAACAAATGAATATCACATTTAAAAGTGCATACTTGGATCTTTATAGAAATGTGAACAGGTGTGTAGGAAAATCTGGACAATAGATTTCGGATAAAAAAAATTTTACGTTGTCAAAAACAGTCGAAAAAGAATTATAGGTTTACAAATTTTGTAGTTATAATTTCCAAATAAGTGCATACTTATTTTTCTTATTTTTATTTCAACAAAAAAGCAGATCAATTGTTTTACTTACCATTTTAATGATCTCAATTATAGAATTGAATATGTAGATAGATATTGGGACACCCTGTAGACTATTCAAAAATGTTCAGCATTGATTAAGACACGAGGTACAAAAAGATTTATATTTTAATTTTCGGAGGATTCGTTACAATACAGAAAAATAGAACATACCGTTTATTTGCTCACAAAAATTACACCAAACTTAAACGATAATACCAACCGAATTTTATGCTATTTCAAAATCTGGGATAGACGTATTTTAACATTTTTCAAAACCGCACTGGTACATCTGTCCCCACACGTTACGAATAAATTGTGAAGTACGCTGCAGGAGGCAAGAAAACTATTAAATGACACACACACGAGTAGTAAAAAATTAATCCACGTTTAATCCAAAATAAATCCACGTTTAACCCTACACTTATACGTAATACAAATTCAGACAGGGCATAACTATCTGCGGCCTCTTCCTCTACCTCTGCCTCTGGGGCCGCCTCTGCCGCGCCCCCTTCCTCTACCCCTGGCAGCCCCCCTTGCCGATTCCTTCTTTTTAGCTTTGGCCTTAGGCGTGTCGTCTATGAGGAGGGTCTCTAACGGTAAACTGTCCGGCAGTATGTAGTAACGTATGTTGTTCCCTCTGACCGTTAGTGTGTCTAAGGTTATCGGGTTGCGGTTCTTCACAGTCACTTTAACCGCCTTCAGGTGGGTGTTCATGGCCACGTCCACTCCGGTGATGGTCCCGTGGACTTGTGTCCCGTTCTTCAGTTCCATTGTCACCGTTTCGTGGCTGAGTTTCATGAGAAATCTATAGAACACACACACATATAGGTTAGGAATGGAAAATAATATATACGTCGCATATTCGATGTGCAAACATGCCGAAACTGTAACAGTTTCATAATTTAAATTTTCTTACCTTACTAGCTTCATTTTGTGACGATATTTTTTGTAAAAATCGTATAAAAACCGGTCAAAATAAGCGTTAACACCGCGTTTCTTGATGCTTGACTTTCAGTGCCATCTATGCACCGTTTATTCTAGTTTCTAGTTGAGTTGACGTTTATGTAACAGGAAACTGTAATTTTAACGTAATTAGAAAAATTTATTTCAAACAAAACATTTAATTCCTAATTAAGCTATTTCGTTTTTATTTTGCATTTAGAATGTGTTTTGAATTATAATAATCTTTGGGCGAGCTTGAGTTTAGATATTCCGCAACTTTTTTGCGACGCATGAGCGCCTCCGGTAATAACAAATGAATCGATTCAGCTGATGCACTTTGTTATTTAGGACCTTCTAGATGACCTAGGCTTCCCGTTTTATTATCAGATCCTAGGGCTGTAAAATTCTCTGGATTTATGCGTTTTTATTTGTGAGCTTGCCAAACGCCGAGCATGCCAACTTTACTTTCGGCCAAAACGCAGTTCTGTTAAAAATTGAGAGACAATAAAGCCGCTCAGAGGCCGTCGAAAATAGTTTGTTGATATTTAGACTGTTAAGTAATGCTTTATTTAAAGGTCCTAGGTTACTAATCGCGTCTCGAGATTCAATTTTGGCGGATAAGTTTCGCGAATTTTGACATGTGTGCGCGTGCGCTTTCCGCATAGCGTAAACATGGCGACAGTCGGGCACTTGCTGTCGTTTTGATGAAAACAAATGATAGCGCGGTTGAGGCTCTGTAGAAATTCGATTCCAATCGTGAGTGTCTTATAATGTGAGTTTGTCGGCTTTATTTATGTGTGTTGGATGAATGATCGGCGCGTCTGTAATTTTAAGTGACATTTAAATTGTCATATATTTACCTTTCAGTTTTTAATGCAGCAATTTAAATTTTTGTTTAAATCGCATACCTCCGGGTCCCCCTTACCTTTGGCCTCTTTATCAATGAAACTAGCGTAGTTATTCATAGTAATGTTGTTTTTTTAATTGTAAATATAGGGGAATATAGGTTAAGTGTAATGTAGCTACGTTTTTTGTCATACGTTTTTTGTTATTTATTTGTATAGTGAGCTAGGGTTTTTCTGAAAAAAATAGCTGTACGAAGAAAAGGCAAGAACCAAAAAGTTTGTGGCAAAAAATCGCCGGAGAAAAAACTGCAGCGGAAAATGGTTGAGGAAACTTTTGACGTTTGTGGTGAGTAAGGTTTATTAAATTTATTTAAATTTATTTCGTCGTACGCACAGTGCATTGTTAGCTACGCGTTTCTGTATTATTTTTATTTAATGTTTTGTAATAATGTAACCCGATTAAATATTGCTCACAGTGTAGCGACAGTGCAGTTATTTTTATTTCTGGCTGCAATATCGGCCGGCGAATCGTTTCGATTTCAACAGAGGGCGGCATACTTTATTTCCCGAGATTTACATCATTGATTCATTGATTGACTGGGGCTAGCGTCTACTTCGAATTTGAACGTATAAAAAAAACAACCCCAAGCTAGAATTCCCCGAAAATTGCGTCACGAGTCCGTTGAAATGCGTTTAATTAATTAGTTGCATCGAATTCGTTTAATAAACACACAGCAGGATGTTATTAATTAATCAGCACTTCCGTAATGGGCTTTTGATAATTTATTTCTTTATTGTATTCATGTTATTGTACACTTCGTCAATGCTGAATACGCGCCTTGAATTAATCAATCGCGGCTGTTTTCGATGAATTTTAAATATTGGGGATGGGTGCAAATGAAATTTCGCACAATTTCCTGCTTTTGTATCGATTTCTAGGCCTGTCTATGTGGTGTATTTAAAAGACCTGTTGATAAATACGCATATCTGTTTGAAGCTACAAAATTCTTATAAAATCAACTATTCTTATTTATATTTTTGCATTTCGCGACCCGTTTTATCTAATACGTCGTTTTCGGTTGATATTTACCATATTTAAGTGACAGAAGACTATACTATTTCTGTATCATTTATTAAAGACACGCCTTTTATAGTTTTTGCCAATCAGAAGGGGGATTTAGCACATTAAATGTATTTTATGTTGTCATAAATTATTATTTGATTGAATTATTAAAAAAATTATAAAACAGGTGACATTTGAAGGCAGATTAAAAAAAATTGATATAATTATTCTGCTATAATAAATTAATGTATATAGATAGATTTTATCAGGATCAATTAGGTATTCAAAATATATACACAGTGTCCCAATGAAGAAGGAATATCAGGAAATTATCCGTTTTTCGTAATAAGTAAATAACTTTAATTTAAAGAAAACTTTTGTTACAAAGATTTAAATTTTTCTGTTTAAAAAGTCTTAATTTTCTTGACTGCATAACCTTTTTTTGTCTTTGGTAAAATAAATGAATAAAGATTAAAAATTTTGTTTAAAAATGTTTTTTTTTGACATCAACTGTTACAAACGCCCCGCCCTCCCCAAAGAAAAAATTAAGTTGTTTAAACATCGTAATACCGCTTTCAATACAATTATGTTTTACTGGTTGCAGCCAAATACGCCACCAGTTGGAATATACTATTTTCAAGAATAATTGTAAGAAAATATAGTAATATAGTGTGAAGTGTTTAAAATGTAATTTTTTAAATTGTAGATGGTAAATCTATAGTTGAGAGGAAGAATTAACTTAAATTTGATATTTTGCAGGTTTGCATTGATATTTAAATATTTATTATTAGTTGTAGAGTATATTTTTTTAATACAGTTCACATTTTTATTATTAAGACATTTGAATGGTACAAAATTTAAACATATGTAAAATGTCCTGCGGAATCAGAATATATGCGATTAGAAAGACGGTTGAACATCAATTTGAAAAGTTATGGGCGAAAAACCGATTTTGAGAGAAAGAAAAACAAGTGTATTTTTTAGCAGAAAGTGATTTTACAAACTTTTTGTGGCAATCATTCAGTTGTTCAACCCCGGAAACCAATTCCACACAAGCTCTTATGTAATACAAAGTCTGTGTCTTTTTGTGTTTTTTTATGTACATTTTTTTTTTAATTAATATTTATTAATTCTACTCAGACATATCATTTTTAGTTTTTATTTTGAATAATTATTTATTACTGTAAATTGTACAAAATCCTCTATTTTCCTAGTTTAACAAATTTGGGGTATTTTTCCCTAGAACTAGGGAAAAGTTCCTAAATCTGGCATCACCGATTAAAGGTTATATTAATATTTTGTAGCATTTTTGACTGTTTCAACCTAAATGAATGTTTTTTTATTAACAAAATTGGTATTCATCCAGTATTTTCTATTTAGAAGACAATTTTTACCAGTATTTAATAAAAATTTTTTAAACAATCCATACTACGCTTCAAGTAACGTTTCCAAAGAGAGATCATAGACATTTTACGTTTAGTGGGCGAGTATGTAAACAGTAAGGCGTTTCAAAATTATCATAATTATTTACCAAATACCCACCCAGACACGTTGCTCAAGATGCTGTGGTAATTATTACGCAAATTATCTGTTGGATTACAAATACGTACCTTTATTGCAAATACAAATGCATGCATCGATCGAAAAAATTAGTAACTCTTACGACACAAACTTGTCGCGTTGAAAGGGATCAGGAGTGGGATTGGTAGTCGAAAATAAATCACGCTCTTTTTTTATAAATTGCATTTGTAACACGTAACTATGTACAACATAACATTTTTCTATCACAACATACTTTTCCCTTTAAATATATATTTACAAATAATCCCAGTTGTTCGGTAAGAAAAATATACCATACGGACGATTCGAATAACGAAAGCTTATCGCCTGTTGGGCTCAGGTTTTTGTGGATGAGCGGCGATGTACTCCAGGGCCCTGGCGATAGCTGGGGGAATTGGTACGGTTGGTGGTGGGGTTGGCAGGACGTTGCCGGAGGGTTGGTAACCGTTTTCGTCAGCGACGTATGAGACCTGAACCTTGCCTCCTTCGGGGTCGGTATACTCGTAGGCTCCGTTTACCACCACTGCTGGGGGGTCGGTGCCGCCCAGGCTTTTGGGGGCGCCGGCCTCTTTGGCGGAGATGCCGTTCTCTGTGTCGAAGCTGTAAATAAAAATTTAGTTTAAAGACAAGATGCCAGTTACCAAAAATCTGGTAATACTGTCGTGATGTCGTTAATGAATACATTGAATAATAAACAGACTAAGAACCGAACCCTGAGGTACTCTCGAAGTAGCAACAGTTTCAGTCGATGTAAAACCACGATACTGAAGTTTCAATGATCTTTTAGATAAGTAAGATTTAAAAACTTTTACCAATCTGGAAAACCTAGAAATCCTGGGATTATCAGAGAATTTTAAAGATCTGGAAGTGTTATTGAAATATCTGGGAATATACCAAACTTTCATGGAATTTTTTCAAATTCGCTAATAATTTTGCACTGCCTATACAGGGTGATTCATTAACAATGGGAAAAATCGAAAGCTGAAGATACTACACGTGATATGGTGACCATTGGCGCAAATATGCCTTATCCGAAAGTTGATAGTTTCGGAAATACAGGGTGTTAAAAGTTAAAATTTTAAATCGTTTTTTTTGCGATTCTGAAAATCATTTTTCCATTAATTGTGTGTTCTTGTTTCATTTCGGTATCTCGATCCGTTTTCGAGAAAAATCGGTTTAATCGATTTGTTGTAATAACACGAAGAAACACTTGGATTGTTTTCCTTTTATTTTCTCATATTATCAAAACATAGTGTTCGTTAAATCGATTTTTCTCGAAAACGGATCGAGATATCGAAATGAAACAAGAGTACATAATTAATAGAAAAATGATAGCTCTTTCAGGTTTTGAATCAAGTTTCATGTCAAATATAAAGGGTAAAAAGTTATTAACTAAATTTTCCGTAAAATTGGGCGTAAGTAGCGCCCTCTATTAGCAATGCTGAAATTACAACACGCATCTTATTCGTCGCCTAAAAAAATATAGTTTCACAAATTTTTAAGTTTCTAACCTACATATTTTCAGGATAATCACAAAAAAACGATTTAAAATTTAAACTTTCAACACCCTGTATTTCCAAAACTATCAACAAGTTTTTAAATTAATTTAAATTAATATGTAAGTAATGTTTGTTTGTGTGAAAATTATTTTTATGTTAAAATGTAAATGTAATAAATCGGAAACTGCTTTTCGGTTTTATAATGTGCAACGAAAATCGAAACGCGTTCGTTTGTAGGCGACAGATATGAAAAAATGATTTATTTTTTGTTTTTGTGCTTATTCAAATTTTCAAAGAGCATTCTTATGCAAATCCCATCCCACGAAGGCCGATAAACATGGATTCCGATCACAAACGCTTAAATTATAACGGAATTCCTGGGATACGGTGTTGCAACAAAGCCAATGTATGGAATTAATAAAGATGACACCCGCCCATCCGAGACGTCAGCTGAAACCCGTCTTACGACACTTATCCGAGTGATCGTAACAAGAAGCGTTATTACAGCAGTGAAGGTGGTCAGCTACGGCAAAGGTCACCAGTCGACGCATGACCTTTACCTGTTGCGCAAGACGAATCTTCTCCAGGTTGTTTTTTCCGTCCCGGTTTTTTTTCTCACATCCTTGAACTCTACTGTTGTACCGCTCGGACAACTCGGGAGGTTTGGTATTTAAATTTAGAAAATATTAATAATTTTAGTAAAAGCCACCTGTGGTAATGTTTATTGTGACACTGTACACAGCGGTGGATCAGACAGAAAGGTCAAGGTTTGGCAGGTTTGAAGATTACGATTTTTTTAATCCGGAAGCTTACCTATACTGGAAGGTGCCATCGGGTTCGCTGTCAGACTGCGCACTGATGATTTGGGCTAGTTTGGGGTCACCCGCATACGCTCCGAAAGCGACAGCCACCATGGCAGAGAACACGACCTGAAAAAAACATCAAAAGAGCTCGTTAAATATGTTTTTTTCACTTAGCTTATAGTTGTAATGTGCCGCACCTTCTCACACACATCGGTTACATGTAACGGTCGTCGATAACAGAGATTATTATTTTAAAGCAAAGCGAAAAGTCAAGGAAGTAAAAAGCAGTCAAAGTTTTTATTTTACGTGAACAAATTCCTAAAAATGTCTACTATTTTTTTTAATAATTAGAATACTTTCATAATTGTTGTTCCTGTTGGTATAAAATTGAAAACTATTCTTTATACAAAAAAATGTAATGTATGTTTGAAAAATCCTTAATTAAGTATGTATGCATTGTTTTCTACTTTAATCAAGGATCATTATTAAGAATGCAAGTGAATACGTTTTATATTATAATACGATGTATGGTGCAACAAACAAAAATATATATTCTACCCACGAATATACAGTACGTATATTTATATAATTTGATTATTTCCGCGTTAGGAGATAAATATTTTTAGTGGTATACAAATTGCTTCCCAGAAGAATTGTGTCATTTAGTTGAAAATATGTTTGTGACTAGAATTTTTTAACTTTACATTCTGAAGATGTCCTAATTTAAAAGATGAAACTTCGACAAACTGTGATAGTGGCTCTTTCTAATCGAAAAAGAAAAATATAACAAAAAAAAAAGGTCACCAAATATTTCAAGAATCTTTTAAGCTTGGTTTTATTATTCAAAGACCTTACTCCCAATTTTTACATATTCGAATCTTATTTTTGAAGATGAAAATTAAAATTCGCCTCACAAAGAAGGATTAATTTAATTATTCATTACACTTTTTTCAATTTAATGTTCTGTTTGTAAAAAAAGTTATTGAAATGACCAATTAAAACTGTTGTTTTTGTCTCGGGCGGTCAAAAAATTACGTGTAAATTGTTTAATAATTACTTACGCAATCGGTATACAAATATCACAGTAAGTTTAACATTAATTTCTAATCGAAGTCTGGGTACTCACCAGTTTCATCATCTTGGGCGATTTGTTTGGATAACTGAACAATTATGATAATTTTTGAAAACGGTTCTACTATTTATACTCATCATATAGACGTAAATGTGCATTAGGAGATCTTCTTCGGGAAGGTTACTATCCCCACCTGGGCGGGTTTCGATTTTCAACGTGGCTCTCCTTTCGACAAACCGCCGTTTAATTTTCTCAAAAGTATGTTGCGGTTTCCGCTGAGATCGATATCTCCGTAACCGGAGCGGTTTCGCTACAATGGCTGATAGTCCCCGTTTATTTAAGGGTCGTAGGGGTCAAGTATTTCGTGCAACATCTCACAACCCACCTTTAAAAAAATACTATTGTTGTTAATTACGTAACCTTATCGGTCTCGATATGGCACAGTCGCAAAAATTGTGTTATTGCAGTTCTTTTAAATAGTGAACAATACTAATATACACTTTTATTACTTCATTTTTTAAGAATACTTGAAAATATTTTCACTACGGCTTGTATTTTATTCGTCTAATACTGCAAAAGCGTGAAAGTCAGAATTAGAAGGCATACAAAGATCTAACCATTTTGTAAAATATTAAATTATATATTTTTCCAATATAACAGGTATTGGGAATATATCTAATAATAATACACTAGGCAGAGAAGTTAAGGGATGTTAAAAAAATCCCAAAATTTGGAGGGAAATAGACGTATAGACCAAGAAATAATGGTGAAAAATCATGGAGAACTCAAAAAAATTCTACTGTCAGTATCTATGGAAATATTTTATATATTTTTATACTAATTATAAATAAATACATATATTAATAATAATTTTACAAAATAATCGATATACAAAATCCATAATTATAAAAAGTATGAAAAAATTAAAAAAATAAAAATATTGATTTTTTTGGGGGCTTCAACTTCCCTTCCTGTTTTTTATTCTCTCTACGACCATTTCTCTCTAAGTTACAGTTCTTTGAAAATCATCAACAATTTTGTGATTTTTTAAATATCCCCTAATTTCTGTGCCTAAGTAATAATATGTCTATGCTCCAGTAGTAAGCAGTAATCCTTGGGTAAGGCGTGTGGGAAATGCGTTTCCATAGGCGGATCAGTTTAGAGGTTCCAAAAATTGTTAAAGATATGTCGATTTTGGTAAAAACAAAGTTATCCTTACAAATTTCACTCTCACCTTAGTATGTCTAAGTATCCAACAAGAGGTAGGTACTTTTTATTTATTACTACTACTACTAGATTATGTATTTTGATTTGAACTGAACCGACTGAATTTTTCAGGACGATCTAGGTAAATTATTCTGAATCTGCGAATCTTCCTATGGATCACATATTTAACGTCATTGTCGATTTCAGTTGTTTTCCTGTCATGTGTTTCGATTTTTTGTACTTTTATCACGTTTTAACGCAGGATATAGTCACTAAAGATGAAATTTTTCATAATTGAAATTCATAAAAAATGTACTACTAAACATGCAATAACGATATAAGTATTTATAGTGATGTGCATTTTGTATTTGTCTGCTTTTCTTCAGGAGATTTTTTTATTTAGACAAAACTATTTTCATTAAAAATAACGTTTGACTTATCACAAATATCCTACAAATAAAGAAAAAAAATATGAAACAAATAAATAACTTCGGACAATAACATATTGATCACTAGTACCTATTTTTAACAACACTAGTTGGAATTACTAAAATGTACTCTTGACTTGTACGCTTATGACGCGCACTGATACACCTCAGCTAGAAAGTGACACTTATAGGAATTCCAAGCAATCAAACTACGTAGCCTCAGTCATCTGTTTTTTTTTTGTACATTTTGAAATATACTGGGGGTCCATTTTAAGTACAGATATACTTTTTCGAGTTAATATAGTGATTGACGAGACTTCTAAGGGATTTTATATTTGTTTAGCTCCAAAAAAAATAAGTACATTTTACTTTTATCACTAAAAAGATGTTTATCGAGGATGTACATTTGTTGTTTGTTGACGAGCTTCTTTCTTTCTTAGGAGGCCTTGGATTTCTATCGGAAAAGGGGCAGTCTGGAATAACACGACTTCAAAGAATCGGAGACACAATTATTAATTATTTATTAATTAGGCATGTCTTCTTTAATGTCAACTGGTAAAAGGCCCATGAAACTTGATTTCCATGAACTTGCCGCAGCTTTTTTTTTTAATAAACTTGATGTCTGGTTGAAAAGGTCACCATATCGGGTTTGGCATCTAAATTTACAGAATTACCTACGCTGTTAACTATTTTTACGGAATAATTGGTGTTTAGTAATATCTTCCTTTAAGAAAGACCTACTTTCACTGTTGTTACTGCATATACAAGGCGATTCAAAATTCAGTACAAAGAATTTAGCGGCGTATTTTTGGGGTCAAAATAAGACTTTTTTTCCTATAAACTTCGGTCCACACAAGGTTTTTATTTTTTTATTCCCCTGTAATTTTTAAGCAAAAAGGTATACTTGGTCGAAACGTTTCCGCGATATTGTCACATAAAAAACATATTATGTAGGTACTCGTGGTTATTTTACTCTAAACTGAACATTTTATCGTGAAAATTGTATATCCCCCTTCTGATTTGCCCCAATTAATTACGCCACAAACAGATCATTATGTCTCTCTTTAACGGCGACGGTTCTTGACTGTCATGGTAGGAACAAAGGTTTGGAATGTTTGGATGTACGAGAAGAAAGATTTGAAGACATAAAATTATAATTCTCTTTATTACTCATAACATACACATAAATTAAACATAAAACTCAATCGGCACCCGACATCTATCGGTTATTAGAACCTTCTTGCGGTTGGGGTGGCATCTTCCCGGGAGGGGTGAGCTGCAATCCACTCCAACGCCCTGAGGATAGCGGCAGGTGTTGGGGGTGGTGTAGGCACGTGGCTGCCTTGGGCTGCGAAGCCGTTCTCGTCCGCGACGTACTGAAGCTGGACGTTCTCTCCTTCAGGGGACTGGTACTGGAAGCCTCCTTGGGCATTCTGTGCCCCTACGCCACTTTCTTGGGCCGAAATTCCGTTCTCGGTATCGTAGCTGAGAAGTATTTGAGTTTTGTAGCGAGGTGTTACTCAGGGTTGCGCATTAGGGCCAGTTGGGGTTGTATTAGTGCCAAATGAGGCGAATTTAGCATTACAAAGTTTACAGAATTCAGAAAATATTATATTAAACATGTTCCTACAATGATTTAACTAATATATTTTTATTTGAGCTTTTTCTGTACCTGAAGAAAAGACGTTATTCAACTGGAAAGCACGCTTAGTGAACAGAAAAAATTAGGAAGCTTTAAGATGTGAAGTATAATGTTTATCCACAAAAAATTAATGAATTGTAGTGTAGTTTATTTAAAAAAGTCTTGTATTTTCGATTGTATAGTCTCAATAACAAAAGATGATTCAATCGCCTGCTCAATTAAACTGACCAAAATAGAAAACATTACTAATAAACAACTGTGGAATAATAAGTAGTAATAGTGTCATTCGAATTCGAATGACCTTTATTGTTACTGTATGTTAAAATTGGTTTTTCGAATGGATTTTTAACTTCTGTTTTAGTTAGTTCAAAAGTCTTTCACAAGATTTTTTATGAATTATTTTTGTACGAAAAGCAAAATATGAGATTTCAACATATTTTGATTAATTACATATTACAGTATAAGTATACTGAATAATGGTTATAAAATGGATTGACAATAGACGGTTTTAAGTAGGACATAGCTATATTTATTAAAATATCATTAGCTGTTATTTTTTCAACTCTCACTTGTCGCGATAGCCTTGAAATACATAAAATAGTCAATTTATTGAATAATATATTGCATAAAATTGTACTGTTTCTATAATTTTTATACCTGTATCATCCAGAATTGCCACAAAGTTGATTTTATATATCAGAGTTTTTAGATCGTTTATATGTTTCTCTTTAATTATGAATGCAACATTATTCTTTTATTTATCTAGTCTTTCAGTATAAGATTTTTGTTTAGGTACACATAATTTCACAAAAACCATCCTTGATTGGTTGATTTAATTTTAATTTTTTTTACAGGCACCTAAATACGCGTTAACTAAGATAGTTTCACGCAGAAGTAACAGCAATAACTCCCCCGCTCAATCACAAGGATTAGCCCGGAATCGAGGACTAGTGCGGGGGAGGGGCGGCATATTATTATCCATACAATGACATTATGAACTATCTGCTTTTATATTATTAAATAACGTATAATATAAAAACAGTTAGTCCCGCTGTGAATGTGATTAATGCTTACCCGTATTGGTAGGCGCCATCAGGAGAGACGTCGGACTCGAGGCGGAGAATTTGCGCTTGTTTTGGGTCGCCATTGTAAGCTCCATAGGCTACGGCTACCACGGCGGTGAAGACAACCTGAAAATGTCGTAAAAATACGTTTCAGTTTGGTAATTGAGTACTGATACACCGCACCTTCCCACACACAAAGTGAATCGTTCAATTTGTATAAGAATCAATATAATGGGAAATTGTTTTGAAATTTTTATTAACTATATTAATTAACTTGTTTTATTTTCATATTTGACAACTTTCCTTTCGAAGACTAACAACATACAAGGTGTTTTTTAATGGTAGAACTGCCGTATGCTTTGTCTGATAGATGTCAAATTTGACATGTAGAGGTAAAAGGGCCAGGTCAGTTTTATAATAACAATTCCAATGTTGACAGATTATTATTTTATCAAACATAAAAGGGCAAATTTATTTTTTTACTAAATTTCCTCTGTTTGTTTTTACTTTCATTCTTACGATTGCAGTAATATAAAAAAGGGCCATATGATTTGTCTAATACATGCTTACTGTTAGAGATAGACTAATCAGACTTATATCACTGTAAAACAATTTAAAAAAGTGAAACAAAAACAAAGTATAATGTTGCTAAGACAATTGCAGTAAAATTGCTAACAATTATCCAACCAGACGATCTTACACTCACCAGTTTCATCATCTTGAGCGATATGTTCGAATAACTGAACAATTATGATGATTTTTGAGAACACCTTAGTATTTATATGCGTTCAAATGCAAATCTATGTTAGGACATCATCTCTTAAAAGGTTACTATCCCCACTATATAGGTTACATTACATTTTCGATACGGTTCTCCATTACGTAGGTAATATATTAACTAAGTTACGACCAAGTGTCTCTATTTCCGCATAGCTACAGATTTTTTAATCGGACCTTTTCGAGGCCCCATCTTCGGAGATCACAGGGGTCGAATATTTGTTATGTAAGGCCTGCCTACAAGTTAGTAGTTAATGTGTTGGCTGGGTTGCAAACAAAAATCGAGTTCGTTTTTGTATGAGAAGTTTATAGGCATTTAATAGTCTCAGGCTTAATTATTATTCTCTATTACAATGCAATAATATTTGGAATTCAGTCATACCTCCTCCGCTTTTGGCTGTACAATTTTAGGACGTTGTTTTCTTGGTGTTCTGAATTCTTCCCGGAACGAATTGTCTCTTTGGGAGTCTGAATTATTGTGCAATTCCTTGTTCTCCACGAAAATGTGGTGTGGGTGGGGCTCGATGAAGATGATAAATAATACATTACTTAATTTCGTGCGGGGATATGACGTTAATGTTAGCGGCTTTGGATGGATGGAATTTCGCTTCATTAATAAAAAAAGTCGTTGCAGTCGTGTTCATTGTGGCATGCTGTATATTCATGGGAAACGGATATAAAATGAGATATTTGTCAAGGAAATGTGTTTAGTCGTTAAAGATTCGAAGGAAAGTCGATGGTCAAACAGAAAAATTAAACTAATTTGTTTTACCGAGTCTAATGAATATATAACTTTGCAAGGAACAAATGGTATTAATTTCGGAAATTTGCTAACATCGATGTTCTTCTTCAACATCCGATGGAATGATTACTTTGTTACTTTCATCGCTATTCGTCTATTTCCACTGGAAAAGTTTACTTTTTGCTATCGTTACACATCGTGATATACATGTTTGGGCATAGGTCGGGACTAGGGTTTCTGATTTCTCGGCCTATTTTTTTCTCGGGTCTCGAGAATTCTCGACTAGGAATTCTCGGGAATTTTCGAATTCTCGAGAAATTTCTAAAACTTAAAAAAGTCATAATTTTGGTATTGCAATGCGAAATATAAATATGCTATTATACTTAACAATCATCATTAACATTTATTATTTATTCAGTATTTTTATTAATTACTTATGTTTCTACTTCTACTAACAAAATTAAATTAAACTTTGAGTTTCTTATTAAAAACCTTTAACTTGTTTTTTTATTAAACACTCAATATATTTATGTTTATTTCAATGTTTTTGAATCGTAGTTTTCTTCCAATAATAATTATTAATAATCATTAATCATGTAGTCTTTTAATTAAATAAATAAGGAATTTAATTTAACCGAAAAAATCTTAAAAAAACAAGCTCTAATTTAAAGATACAGAAGCGTTCTTCCTATTAATTTATCACATCAACATTAGGTATCTGCTTATAATAAAATTTCTACACAGACTTATAACTAGGTACAATGTGATTCACTATATTTTGACCCCTTTTAACTTTTTTGCTTTAAGAGTTATAAAAAATGTGAAATACAAAAGTTGAACGATTTTTTATGAAATTTTCGAATATGATAGTAGAAAAACAAATGAAGTTCAAACAAAATGGCCGCGGATGTTAACTTTGTTAATTTAAATGGAACACCCTGTATATTTTTACACATTTGGATAGAACGTTCCCTGTCAGGCACAGTCATATATGGTTTGTTGGGTCCATCTCTAACAATAAGCGAGATAATATTAAAAAACGAAAAGGACGTTTTTTATTAAGAAAATAAAATATTTTGTAATTGTTGGACGTTTTTCGGGCATTTCTAAATCCTTACGTAATTGGAAAAAAGGCAGAAATGCCTGAAAGAGGTCTAACAATTACAAGATTTTCTTAATAAAAAACATCATTTCGTTTTTTAATATTATCTGGCCTATTATTAGAGATGGACCCAACAAACCATATATGACTGTGCTCGATAAGGAACGTTCTATCCAAATGTGTAAAAATATACTGGGTGTTCCATTTAAATTAACAAAGTTAACATCCGCGGTTATTTTGTTTGAACTTCATTTGTTTTTCTACTATCATTTTCGAAAACTTCATAAAAAATCGTGCAACTTTTGTATTTCACATTTTTTTTATAACTCTTAAAACAAAAAATTTAAAAGGGGGTCAAAATATAGTGAATCACCCTGTACATTAAAAAAAAATCATCAAAGTAAACTAAAGCCTTAAAAACTTAAAATAAATAAATCAAGGGCTGGTAGAGAAACCACTTTAACCGCTCAGTTATTTGTCGAGAAACGAATTGAACGCATGAACGAAACGAACACCAGTCAAGAACTTAAGACGCGCGTGATTTTTAAATTTCTCGATTTCTCGATTTCTCGACACTTTTTTCTCGTCTTGAGTAAGGCCAGATTTCCCGGGAATTCTCGCTTCGAGAAGTCTCGACCAGAAACCCTACTTGGGACATTAGTCCACAGATCATCCACAATATCATTTTTGACACCCGATAATTGTTGTTTATTTATGCATTTATCGGACTAGATAAAGTTTACTTTTTGTTTCGATGCCTTTCTAAAAATTAATGCATATTTCTCGGCCAACTATTCAGTGAATTTTAGGTGTGTAAAGAAAATGAATATTCAAACGATTTATTTAATCAGAAGATACGAATAATAACACGAATTCATTAAGTAACACAACAATTTAAATGGGTAGCATTTTTTTATAGCTCAGGCCATATTTTTGACTAGTTTATGTCTCGTTTTTGTTATTTAGCCCGACATGTTTGTTTAAGGCCGTTTTTCGGCCTCATAACTAGGATTATGCAAGATATGAATATGGATGTAGGATTTTTAAAGTTATCTCCCAGATGTGTTACCACATATCATCCACATAAATTTACGAAAAAAGAAGGATTTTAGGAAAATTATAGATTTTATTTTTAGTTCATAACGACAATATAAACAGGTAATTTTTATTGGTTTCATATTTTAATGATTGTTTTTCTTTGCCATGAATTACGATTAATTAGATACTAGTATATAACTTGGACTGTGTCAGGTTTGCAAATTTGGAGTTTAACAGATTATATTATGAAATCAAGAAAATTATGAAAAAACACGCTCTTATTTGTTACACAAATCAATATACCTACTAGATATTTTGCTAAAATAGCATATATGTTTCAAGATCGTTTTTGCTATTAATTATGCTAAAAACATTTACGAAACTGTAATTTTCAGACAAAATTATTGTTTTATGTGATGAAATTTGCATTTGTGTCGTAACGATATTGCATATTTCTTAGATTATTTCATTTTAAGTGCAGTTTTAGCCATTACAGAATTTGGCAACTAAAATTATGTCACCGCGAAAAATTATGTATACGTATGTACGTTCTTTACGTCGAATATATTTATACATTTTTTAAAAAAATTGCGAGTATTTAAAGCTTACACTTTCTATAACGGATGTTTCTAATAAGAACAAGAACAGGAAATGACTTCATTGGATGGTAATTAAAATAAAAAGTGTACATGTTTTCGAAAAAACGTCAACTACGAACAAACAAATACGCTTATTTTCATAATTCCACGATTTCTATCTATTTTTTATGGGGATTATCGAATTTTCGGCATTCTATTGGTTATTTATGATATTAAGCAATATTGTAATATATTTACTCATTTGTAAAAATTTGCATCTAATTTGAATTATCAGCTCGATGTTCCAGATATGTCGATATATCTACGTCCGCTGATTGTGAGGCTTGCGTTAAAAATTATTGCCTATTGGGCTATTATGGAATTATTCGAAAAGTCATGGCTGAACCGTCGTATCCAACTGCAAAGTTCAGTCTGTCAGCGTTAATATCAACACGGCGGTTTCCGTCATTATGAAATGTTAGAATTTATACACTCATAAATTAGAAACATTGCAAAACTTTCGTTTTTTCAATGCGACATTCTCGGACCAGACAGAATTTTGTTCGAGTAAAAGTCACTCCTAAATTCGACATGTCCGGAATATGCTCGACGACAGCTTTATAGAATGAAGTTAATGTTTAGCTAACGAAGAAAAATGTGTCTAAAATATATATTTTTTATTCGGAGATACTATCTTTGCTAGATTTATACAGTCACATACAAAATAATTCGTCGAGGGATATATTTTTTTTCAAATTAAATGTGAGTAAGTCTCTCTAAGTGAAAATCATGGTCCCTATATTTTATTTACTTTTCTCTTTTTCTACCGACGAGGCAAATATTAGCCTAGCCTCTCCCGATAAGCGAAATAGCCGCGCCAAACCTAGTCGAAAAGCTTCAATTTCCTCTTCATCCCCTTCCAGACGGCTGGCAAACAGCTAGCCGCCGATTATCTTTAATGTAAACCTCACGGGCGTTATTTAAAAATATTGACGGGCGACGAGACGGTCGTGGGACGGCGGGAGGCGTGATCGAAGCCGCCTGCGATCTGTGGCCGTCGATTCGGGGGCTTTTGGGGCTAATTTGTGGTTTTGGCAGTGACGTCGAACCTATGGAGGTAATTAGGTATGGGGGGACAAAGCGGGACAATGAGGGAAATTGCTGGTTACGGCAACTGGGGTATTAGAATCTTGTAGTCCAGTCACTGATTGGTAGCCATTTTGGCTACCAATTTTTTCGGATTGAATGGATTGAAGTAAAATTTAAACTGTAGATAGGGAATGCCACCCCTTCCAGAGGGAGGGAATTTTTTTATTAAAAATAACCTCATGATTCGATAGAGAGACAAAAAATGTTCTATAAGAATTTTTTGTACAGTCAATACTTTTTGAGTTATTTGAGCCTAAACATGTTCGTTTTTAGTCCAAAAATGCATGTTTTTGAGCCATTTTTCGCGAATATCTCAAAAAGTTTTATCAAAAAAATGATCATAAGC